GTGTTTTGGAGTTTGTACGTGTTTTGGAGTTTGCATGTGTTTTTTAGTTTGCATGTGTTTTTTAGTTTGTACGTGTTTTGGAGTTTGCAAGTGTTTTGGAGTTTGTACGTGCTTTGTCTCTAGGGGCCACCGTAGAATATTATTACACATGAAAAAAAAATAAAAACTACACATAAAATAATCACACCCTGACGCCTCTGCCTTTCTAAATGGAGGGACAGTAACTGCGTGTGTATATGTAAGATGTGTAAAACCTGAAGATAGTCAGATTAACAGTATTTTGTCTCTATCTGCCATTCTGCAATTCATCTCATGTAAAAAAATAACGTGTGCACAGTGTGACGTGAAAAAGGCACATACCTTTGACATTGCGTGACCAACTCTGTATTACTCGTCCACACATAAAGACAAAAAAGGAGTTTAAAAAATCTCAGTTTTCGGTGATTCGAAACGCCGTTTACTGTGGACGAAACAGCTGCGTTTTCAAAAATACCCGTTTAGGTGCGACGCAGCGTAAAAGAGTTACCGGTAGTAGTTTATTTTATTACTACCTGTAATTTATTGCAGATTACTTGTATTTGCTTAATTGTTTACTAAATGTTTGAGGTGTGAAATAAACGGCAGTGGAGCAAAATATGGGCGTGTGTGGTTGGAGGATGTGTTAGTGCGTGCGCGCGTGCACGCGCCAGAAGGGGGGAGGGCGCGAACATTTTTCTTGTAAAACAAGGGGGGGCCAGCAAAAAAAGTTTGGGAACCACTGCGTCAGGTGAATTGATGATGGTGAATCTTGATTACCTGTGCTGGTTGTCTGTCTCGCTGTGTGAGACTGGCGAAATGCTCACCACACCAAAGTATAAGTCTTTAAATGAACTTAAAACAATCATGGAACGGATTTCCACATTAATAAATGTTTTTCTATTAGCAGTAAGTCAATTGATTTAAGTTGGACTCAACTGCAAAAGTTGAATAAATTGATGATGAACCAACTAAGTTGGTCCAGCTCAAGTACCTTAAGCTGGACCAACTAAATTGCGTAATGCTAATCACATGGGAATCCTTTCCATGATTTTATTATGTTCATTCAAATTGTTATTTATTGAGTGTGTAAGAAAAAGCAGGTTTACTGAAACCACAGAAACTCAGATGAGTCACTGGAGTAACAAGCTGTGTGAAGCTAACCTACTGGGTGATGGGTTTTCTTCAACAAACTGAACAAACTTCATTTCTTCATTTCTTTCATCTTCAATTCCTCATTCAGTATAAAAAAATATAGGAGTGTGGTAATATGCAGAAGTTTGCATTATTACCCTGTTAGATGAGTGTTCATAATTAGTCATCACAGATAAATCACTTGACAGTCTGCATCTATTTAAAACTTTGGACGGTAAGAAAGGTGTCGGGTTATGAAATAAATACAATAGCTTATTGTCACGATAACTATTTAAATAAAACGTATCTGTATGAAGTTTTAGACTGATTGATAAAGAGCATTTGTCGTGCAGTGATCAGTCACTCTGATAGAAAATTGCCTGGCATCTTTACACTGTCGTCTAAAATTTGTATTAAGGGTAATCTGTAAAAGTGTCAACACAGTGTGAACACTCCTTTGTGCATATTATTTCTCTGTGGAATGTTTCTGCCTGCCACGTGCCCTGTTCATGACACGGGTGTTTTCTTCTTCTAAATATTGTTAAAATCATCAAAAGGATGACTGTGTATTTGGCTTTCTATTTATAATATTGTAAGGTGTTTATCTTGAATTAAAGTGCCTCCAGATGACTGTTGTTGGTGTTTGACCATATTTAAAACTCATCTGATTGTAATACAGGGAAATGTTGGTTTTTACAAATAATAACTGCGCGTGTTGTTTTTGCTCATTTGCATCTTTTATTCATTCAGCTTTCTTGACATATTGCATGCAGCCGCTCTGCAGTGATGCTTTTTGGCCACAATTACTTTTTCCTAATGTTTAAAGCTGTGAAGTCAAACATTTGGAGTTGTACACGATTGTCATCAGATTGTGTGGTGAAATTTTCTAAACTAAAAATATTTTGAAGTAGGGCTTCATGATGTGGGAAGACAGAAATCAAAAACACTTTTGCCTTTTCTCTGCCATCATTTCCCCTAAAAAGCTAAATAAAGCAAACAGATTTCTGTGGCTTAACAAAAGTTTTTGCTTTTTCTTTTTAGTGTGTAACTGTGGACAGACTTCATTGAGCTCTTTAAACACACTTTCATGCTTACAACATTGCAGGAATCATACACTGATTTCACTAAAGCATTTGTATTTTAGTTGTTTGGCATCTTCTCACGAGACACTCAGTTTCCCTCTTGGGTCCACCTGATGCATCTAAAACCATCCTCGCAGTCACATTTCATATCAGACGTACAGGTGCAGTTCTGAACCACTTTAAGATGAAACTCTGAGAAAGAGTGAAATAGAGATTATTATAAAGAGTACTCTAGAACATAGAAAAGCATTTCCTTTGTGACACTTTCATGTCAGCTTGATGGCATTGCACTTTTTTAGAGAGCATAAAGATTTCCAGGAATATTTTCAAACCTGTTCATATTAGACAAGTTTTGCATATTCATGGCAACTTGAGAGGAACCTGTTCTCAGAATGATCTGATAATAACGGGAGCCAGAGCTAAGATTACAGATCCTGTCACCTATTTTTTTTTCTTTTGTTTTTTAATGGCTGCGGTAAAGTTGTTTGCTTTGACACTGGTCATTTTGCCCACTGTTGGTTTGAGCTTATCTGACATGAGAATTCAAAGTGTTCTTCTCGGTACTTACTGGTTGGGGTTGGGTCTGGCATCTTCTCACAAGACAAGCAGTTCTTTTTGTCATGGGTCCACCTGATGCATCTAAAACCATCCTCGCAGTCACATTTCATATCAGACGTACTGGTGCAGTTCTGAACCACTTTAAGATGCAACTCTGAGAAAGAGTGAAATAGAGATTATTATATGGAGTAGTCATCACAGTACATGTGGAGTTACTATTGATGGTTTATCAGCTTTTTATAGAAACCCAGAGATCACGGGTATATCAAAATCCTGATGAAATCATTAAAGGTGGAAATGAAAACTTTCTTTACTAGGGTTGCAGTCTCCTAAGCAGAGATGGCATTCATCTTCATAGTTCCAGTCAGTTGTGTAACTTCCAGCAGGACAGTGTTCACATGTTGTACAATCACTCTGATACATACCTGTGAGAACAGAAAAAACAAGAGGAAAGACTTGCTGACTCGGAGTGAGTATCGGTGAAGGATGTGGTCATACTGCACGAACTCAGCCTGCGTCATTTTTCATCAATGCAGAAAATCAAAACAACACACAGACAAGAAAGAACCATACTTCACACCACGGTACCTAAACGAGATTCATATTTCTGAGTAAATGTAAACTGATGAACAGAATTTTAAAAATATTAATAGAAGCTCACATCAAGTTATCACACATTTCCTACCTGCAGGACAATAGTTACACTCTCTCCCACCAACGTTGTAGGTGTTCTGTGGCTGTCAACACAGATAGATATAAATCACTAAAATGAAAAAGTCCTCACTAACTCATCATCCATGCCACATTCACTCATGTCAACTATTTTTCTTATTTGATAAAAGTGTATGCAGTAATTAAGGCGACTGGGTTAAAGAAAAAAAGTCTTACTGTGGGAAAGCTGAGCACCAACTGTGTGGATAACATCAGGAGGGCCACAGAGTATTGCACCAATCCCATTCTGTGGACAGATGTGAACACTACTGCGAAAAGGCCAAGGATCAAAATCTATAAAAGCTAACGCAACTACCAAGTTAATATCACAAATAAAGGTTATTACAATAAAACAATAAATGTCAAAATTAAAAGAAAAAGGAAATCTTTTCCTTCAGTATCATGTTCCTGTTGTTCAACTTCTGTTGTTTTTGCTAACTTCCTCAAAGTGTGCCCCACCCTTTTGTCTTTTTGTATCTTTCTCTGTCATCTTGCTGAACATCTGTGTTATTCTTTCTTTACCTGGTTACATATTGCTGCTTCCCACACTCCGACCCCTACCAGCCTGCTAAAACATTTATGCATCAAGTCTGGAAACCTTCACAAACATATTTAAGTACATTTGTTTTTCTTTTACTGTTTAATTTAGCTGTAAGCCAACTGTTGAGTTGATTATATATTAATATGGCAACATTTTCGATGTTAAATATTTGTAGGTTTTAAAGTGTTTTAAGCGCTTTATATTTCCAAATTGAAGTCCTGGAAAAAATCCCTGTTTTGCCATGTAAAATGTAAAATTTGAAATAAGGATAATCAAGTATAAAGGATAAAGGTGTTAACAGAGGAACACTTCTTTTAGGTTTTGAGTTTAATGTTAAGATGGATAGGAAGAGTAAAGAGAAAGAGTTTGTCTTTCTCCAAAATTTCATGAAGTGGTTACTTAACGAGATTTGGATGATTCTCTCTTTCATTTTTTTTTTTTATCTGTAATGCTTCAGGGTCTTTATCTTGGTATAAAGTGCCTTCAGATAACTGTTAGAAAAAAACTGTTGAACTTAATACAGGGAAAAAACTGCACGCCTTGTTGCTCAGTTGCATCTTTTATTCATTCATCCAGCGTCTCTCGACATATTACATACAGCAGCTCTGCAGTGAAGCCTTTTCCAGCCAAAGTTACTTTTTCTTGATGTTTAAAGCTGCAAAGTCACACATTTGGATTTTAGATCAATAGTTCTGACTCTGTGGAATAATTTTCTTTAAAAAATTTGGTAAATAAGTTTTTCTGTTGTGTGAAGACAGAAAACAAAAACTCTTTAGCTCTCATCTGCCATCATTTCCACCGTGGAGTCTTCATTCAGCTCTGTTCTTTAAACACGAATATATATTCAAAGCTATATTTCTGTTATGCATATAATATCAAAGCCATCATTTCACAAAAGCATTTGCATTTCCGTTCATCTTCCTGAACTGAGATATTTTTACACTGACTTTACTTGGCATACACTCATAAAGAAACAGCGTAACTGGGAAAGAAAACCTAGATGATCATCAGATTCTGAATTTTTCACGTGGTCACCATGAAAACACAAAAGTCATTTTGTTGGCGTTGAACTGCTTGAGACAATATGAGATTTTACAGTTTGATCCTTCTTAATGTTGCGCATCTCGCTGGTCAGACAGAAGGCCCATAAACATACACACTGACACATGCATACACATAAATTCACTCAGTGCGTTAAAGTGTAACGGTACAAAGAGAGACGGAGTTTTATGCCTTTAACAATGCACCCGACGCCTGATCTTTTCAGAATGGCGCTCAGCTGATTACAACTGCAACACATGCATGAGCTAAACTGCACCCTCCTGCACCTGGTTCATCTACACAGAAGAAACAACACCATTTAAAACAGTGTCTGATAATAGAGTTGTGATGGAGGGGGCGTCCACCTGACAGCTGTGCGCTGTATGTGTTTTCCTACGAAGGAACATGTGGGTTAAATATGCCAATAGACATAACTAAAGTAAAAATGAGGTATGCGATGCGTTCACCAACGACATTTTTTTTCATAAGGAAAGGAAAACTAAATAGAACAAATCGTCCGTTTTCAGCAGGTCAGCATATTTTGTTTTTCAGGTTAGACTACTGATTGTTTCTTATGGTACAGTTTTGCTTTGCTCTTCTTTTCTATGTGCAAAACGTAGGTTCACTTCTATACATCAAGCACCTTGGTGAAATAGCTTGTTTAGTCTTTTTTTAAAGCAATTTCCTGTTGATTCACAATCTAAATATTATTTTGGCACTCGGTGACTAACTTACATTATTACATGACAGCCTTTTTGTTTTTCCACTATCCTCAAAGTGATTCTGCTCAACCATGCAGCTTTACTCAAAGATACAGCCTTCACTCTAATCTATAATAATAAGCATTGCTGCTAAAAAAAAATAAAGATTATTAACAACACTTACATGACCCTTGAGTGACTCTATCATCCAGTACTTTAGTTGGTCTTTGAAGTGCAACAGACAGAGACTACGGTTACGTTCAAAACTAAAAAAAACAACCTCCTGCCAACACTGTGGTCATTGCTCCCTCACCTTTCCTGAAAACTACAAAGTTCAAAGCAGACTACGGTGTTTGTGGGATTTCAGATGTGACTCATATGAAATGATTGGAGCTCCAACATCGTCAAGATGATCAATGTGTGAACTCTCTGTGAACAGCAGGGTGGTTTGGTCTGCTTAAGGCTGACACCAAAACGATGGTGATATAGACATGCGACTTACTACGGTGACTATGTTGTATTATTATTAAAAGTTTCTGCACCTGCACAGGAAATATAAGCTAATTCGGCCGTTTATTTACAGATTTAGGGTAAACGAATGTGTCCAAATGAATCAAGGAACAAATCAGCCTCTGCTGTGTAACAGATGTAGCTCGCAGGTTACGGAGGCCAAAATCTTGATTTCGTTGTTTGGACTGTTTGCTTTTGCCATGTTATCCTTGACTAAATTCTGTATAATTGTTCTTTGTCAATGCATATCTTCTCCCACATCATTATAGAAACAGTCTTCTTGCACCAAATCGACCAGCTAAGTGGTCAGACGACTACAAATTTTTACGTTTTTTCAAAATATTTAAGAATTTGTCATAAAAATCCTGATGAAAAATCTGCCAGGAGGCCCACAGGTTTCAACTTATAGCCAACATATTACTGCCATTTTTCAAACAATGTGGTCCTCAAAGCGAACACATGTACACTTTCTGAACTGGAGGCATCCGAGTGAGAGGAGTGACATTCAACTTTCCCAATTAACTCCTGTTATATTTGATCAAGGGCTTCAGGAGAAGAATAGAAAGCAACTCTTATATCATCTGATTTAAGGCTTAGGAACACAAAACACCACAGATCTGAAGAGCAACTTCTCAGGATTTTAGTTATTTTTTCAAATCACTTTGAAATGACTTGAAGTTTTAAGGTTTTTACATACATTTCCCTTGTTATCCAGAAAACACCTCACTTTATTGGAAGGAGGCCTGTTGGTAGTCAAAGACTCAACTCTGTTGCTCCAGTAAAAATGCACATAATGTTTGCGTTTTTCTGATTTTCTTCTGTATCTTTAACTTTTCATTTATTGCCTCAGGTTTGCTTTGCCTGTGATTCTATTATCGTTTATGCAAGAGATATGGTGAACAGTTAATGCAGCTGCAAGCCACTAAAATGCTCTCTCGCGGGTTTTTATTAAACCTACATGTGTGGATAAAGATTTAAATTCAAAAATTCAGTGTTATATTATTTTAAGACTGAAGCTTCATTGTTTCCTGGAAATATTCCTGTAAATGTGACTTTAACTTTTAGAGCTTCAGTGACCATAAAAGCAGATCAGAGAGGAGGATGCTTACATTATCCTTGTTTTAGCTCGTGTCCGTTTGTGTAGAATGAATAAGTCATGCTATGTCTTCCTGTAACCACACTTACAGTCAGCTGACCCTAGGTCCTTCAACCTACTGAATCGTCACAAAATGAAGCGCAATGACAGACTTCCTCGCTCAGTCAGTTCCATCTCGCTTTCCAAAGTGTCCAGAAAAAGAAATGACTCGTCAAACAAGTACGTAAACATGGTGTTGCCGTAGTCACGTAGTCAGCGCCCATTGTATCGGTGTGGTCATGGATGCACTTGAGATCGTGTGACCACAGCCGCTGTTAACGCTGGAGTGAGCATGTGTCATGTTCTCCCATTGCTCGAGGAAGAAGGTGGAGATACCGACGGCTTGTCGTTTTCTCTCGCTTCACTCTCCTCAGCGGGTGGAGGCACAGCAGACGGACTGAGAGGGGCAGAAAGAGAAATGCATCATTTTTTCCAGTAAAAACTAAACTCGCTCTACCTGTGGGTTCGGTGGTTCGCTATAATTTTCATTAAAGGTTTTGATATAAAGTGCGATATTTTCAGATGGATAAATATTACGGCTTTTAGGTAAATGGAGACAGTTGGCATAGATTTTCAGGTAATAAAGTCCAGCCAGTTAAGCATAAAGCTTATTTATATTTAAAGCTAAATAGTGTAGTCATAACTAAGTAATAACCATGTCTATCATGTGTATCAGATGTATAAACAGGTAACAAATCAAAATAAAGAAAGTTGAAATAATATAATGCATTTTGACAAAAGTGGATTATAATAACAACTTTACTAGATACACATAATTAAAGCTGAATACACCCATACTGTAATGTTTTATAACCCATTTAATAAATGTTTATTTTAAATACAATATAAATTAGATATGCTGTATACACTGAAACTGCTCGAATAGTTTTTTTTTTAAAGGAAGCTAAATAGATCAATAAAATCAACATCAAGTGTGTGTGTTTATGTGCGTGTGTACCTGTCTTCGCTCTGTGTGATGAGTCTCCTGCAGGTCTCCATCTGAACATCCAGGCCTCTCTTCATCGAGCACATCTCCATGTACTCGTGCAGGTGTCGGTTCATGTCGCTCTTAGCTGTGGCCAATTCCAGCTACAGTCAGAAAACTGAGAGTTAGACTAAATCACTCCAAGAATACATGCAATCAACAGCAATCTAACAGAGTCTCGGTCTCACTTCCTCACCCATGCAGTCAATATCAAAACAAATGTGAAAAAAAAAGTGCATGCCTTTGCAAACAGACTCCCGTTAAGTGAACGTTTGCTATTTCTTTTGTTTAACATGAGCACTTGTATAATCGCTCATTCAAAAATCAGTCACTGGTTATTGTGAAAATCTTCAGGCTACAACTGAACTGAAGTTGTTGCCTGCAGTTTAAAGTGAGTTTTCAAACTCAGACCGCAGACATTCTGAATGTGTTCTGGCACCAATTCATGTTTAAATATTTTCACACACTCAACTCCTTAAAGTTACTGATGGTGTTTAGAGCCTTGTGGATAGCTTGTTTGGTTTAGTCGCTGATTTCGGTGCGATAGTCAAAAAGGCAAAGTTTGACGGATGTAGTTTCTGTCAAGTTATAGCTGGGATTTAATAATCAAATGTAAAAAATTGGAAGGATCACAACTTTATTACATAGTAAGTCACATTTAAGCTGGGTGAATGATGACTAGGGGGTAAAATAAAGACACTTAGGTTTAAAAAAAATCTCAGTCTAAACATACTCTGACCAGCGTTTCCTCTCTCACAGTAAACAAACCCATGGCTGGTTTATAAGACAAGGACAGAGCTTAGTTAGTCCTCGACTACAACTTGTTTTCACTGAAGCCTCTCATTTAATTTTTCTTTTCTAGCCTGGAAGTAGGCTTAGTCAATGTCTGAGAAACTATCTGTCAAAGTTTAGAGTTAGACTCAGAGTTTGTTAAACCTGCTTTCTTGAACAACCCCCTGACTATGTGCAGCCAAACTGCTCAGGTTTACATAAACTCATCTAAAATGTATGAAAGATGTAAAGAAAGGCCTTTAAAGTACTTTACAGTTTAGTAAAGATTAAATTCAGCAAGGCAGGCTACTGCCCCTTTAAAACAAAGCATAGTAATAGTATTTCACTTAATGTCATTATTTAGACATCATATTGTCTTGTGAATGCAAGACACAAAAAACAGTGCAGGAGACATAATGCATACAGCAAAAATGAAAGAACAAACTGCCAGCATGTAGGATGAAGGAAGTTATTTAACATATAAAAGTACAGAGCAAGCGTCTGACCTCAATTTGGTCAATGGTCTCTTGGTATTCCTTCTCTCGAGATTTGAAAAGACATTCGGTGTCATTAATCACCTTTTCCAGACAGTCCTCCTGCTGAAGACAAACACGGACATGGAAATTTACATGCGATGAAAGGTAGTTATAATCGGTTTAACGTGTGCGTCATCAGACATCACCGCAGACATAGAACCATCAAAGCACAGCTGTTGCAGTGCTCCCATCAGCTCACATTTCACTGACTTATTTCCCACGGGAGAAAGAGCAGGCTTTTCAAAGCGCACACAGCTGGTGAATGAAAACAAATACCTACATGCATTTCTTGGAAACAAACACCATGTACGCTAAATACAGGCTGGATTTGTGCGAGTGTTGTTTTGTTGCCTGAATTGGCCCGGCCACAGCAGAGCACCGAAGGGCAGCAGACTGAGCTTTGAAGGACTCCACTCTGCCTACTGTTCTGGATAAAGTCCACTTATAACCACACAAACAAAAGCTTCTTTGAAATCTGAAGCAATAATATCAAACCATGTGCACTTAGAAATTACAGTGCGCTTCCTCTACTTTATAAAACTCCTTTATGCAGTGACTTAAACAGTGTTTAAGCTGAAATTCTGAAACGTTTTTTTTAAAGTAACAATAGATGTCAGATGTCTCTTTATAACTGCATTCACTCAGGATGAACATCTGAGACATGGCTGAGAGAATTTAGTAATTAGCCATGCTCTCTGTTTTTGCGACAATGACAAAAATAGAGAAGCACACATGTGCCAATTAAAGAAACAGTTTATTTTTAAACTAAAGAACCAAAGAAAGAACTTAAACTAGCCATGGGATGTGTATTCAGTATTGCCAGCAGTGTGAGAGAGTGCGTGAGTGAGGAAACGGCATATGCAATGTTGTCTCGTGCCATGCAACAAACCAAGATACAACCAAAATCTCAGAAGTGTCTCTGGAGAGGAAAGCCACGCTGGCAGCTGAGCTCTGAGGGCGTTTGTAGAGCACACTGGGCCCAGGTGCTGCCAATCGTGCTAATTAGTCGGCACCTGCAGTACACGGGTGCTACACAGGCGGACTGAAATGCAGGTGGGGTGAGTGGGTCGTCTTGTGATGTTACCTGTGTTTCATCTTTTTTTTGTTTTCCCTGCACCTTTTGCAGATGCACGACAATTCAGAAACTCAATTTGACTGAAACCTGAAAGGATGGTGAGATGCCAACATATGGTAATGAAAATTCTTCCGTCTTTCAAAAAGATCGACAGTTACGGTCACGTGAAAAACAAAAAGAAAGAACTGCACAGCCCTGTGAAAAACAAAGTACCTCGTGTGAATGAGCAGACTGGATGACCACCTTTAGCACAAATAACCTTAAGTAATTGTTTTCTATATGATGTTCTGTCTCTCACGTCCCTTTGGGGGAATTTTAGCCCACTCTTCTTCAAAGTGTTGCTTCAGTTTATTGAGGTTTGAGGGCACTTGTTTATGCACAAGTGTCTAACATCCCAGACCTGAGTCTGGTTGAGGTCTGGACTTTGATTGTGCCACCTTTAGACTTTGATTTTACAGGTTTGCTGCTGTACATGTCCTGCTGGATGACCCAGTTTGGGCCAAGCTTCAGCTGTCAGACAGACGGCCAGATTTGACTCTAGAATACGTTGGTATGCAGAGGAGCTTATGATCGACTCAGTAACTGCAAGGTGCCCAGCTCCTATAGCTGCAAAACAAGTTCATGTCACCCCCCACCCCACTGTTCCAGAAGTCTTGTGGTTTGTTCAGATTCAACTTTGCAAAACCAAGCTGTGCTACAATGGTTAAAGAGAATAGGCTTTCTCCTGGTAACCCTTACAAACAAGCCATACTTGTTGAGTCTTTTTTTTAATGGTACTGTCATGAACTTGAACATTTAATATGCTAAATGTGGCCTGTCGAGTCTGAAAAGAAGTTGCAATCTGTCAGAGCACTGCACAGTCAGCACTTGGGGTGAATTTGCTCTGAGCTTCTGGGAACACTGCGGCAGTGTACTTAGTTTTTCACAGAAATGAATAGAGCCTTGTGAAAAAGTGCTTTCTCACATGACTGCATGTGTCAGCTTACTAAGTGAGGTCTATAACTGGTGACCACAGATATCTGTCGATTTCAGTAAAACACAGGCTTGTTTATGCTGTGTGAATGTTTTGCAGAAAACAGTGATGATGGGGTAACTTCTGACAGTCATAATCCCTTGCAATTAGTATTTTTAATATGCCACAAAGATGGCTAAAGGTAAATCTTTCAATTTTTCAGCTTTTTTGAAGCCTCTATATGTATGTTCATAAATTAGCTCCTCTCTGGTAGCCACAGCTATATTTCTAACAACTTTGAGCTTTAAATCTTCACAGAGAGTTCTCTCAGTCTTAAACTTGAGTGACTGCTGCCTACCTCTCCCGGTGGGTGGGTGGGATCTGGAGGCAAAGTGCATCCTGGGAAATCCTCCCAAAGCAGCAGCGTCTCTTCAGTCTCCTCCCACGCTAGACTGTCACAGTCATCCTCAAACTCACATTCACGCCTGAAATTTTTTTTTAAAAAAAGTATCAATGCACACACACAAATGCACATGGCCTGAAAAGACGACTCAGATTACAGTAAATACATTTGCAGACCACTCACAGCTGGTTTAGCATCCTCTGCATCTCCTCATTGATCTGATTAGCAGCAGATCCACAGTGCTCCTCATCTTTAACCACTGCTCCGTCACTTTCGGAGGTGCTGACGGGCTCGTCACACTCACTCCCATTAAAGGACAGAGGGGTTTGTTTACGGCGGCAGTTTAGCGATGGTTGGTTATTAGGAACCTGCAGAAAAGTTTGGGTTTAGAGGATCAGACTAACAAGTAGACACTTGCTAAAAGCAGATAAAAAAAGAACCAGAGATGATGAGATTAAACTGTTTTACCTGATACATTTGGATGACGTCTTCACAGTTCCTCTGCTGGGCCACATCGCACAAGCGAGCAGTGATGTCGATCCTGCGGCAGATGTCCATGTCCACCTTCATCGCTTTCTCCTGGATTTTGCTGTCCAAATCTGACAAATTCTACAGAGAGGATGGATATAGGAACTGTTCAGCATCACTGGAAAACTGTACCAATAAGACTGATTATGACATAATAGTAGCACCATTTTCTTATACAGCACCCTAAAGATAGAAAATAAGACCCCTGAAAACTCAGGGGTCACCAATCCTCAGCCGTTTGGTACCATGAGAGTTGAGGCTCAGTTGTGAAATTTATGGTTTTCGGGGGGGGGTTTATCGTTAACTCGGTTTCCCTGGGTCTTTTCCCGCGTTGTAGTTGTGTCTCTTATTTTGAAAGAAATATTTATGCGTTACCATAACGACCGGAGAGCATTAAGGGGCAGAGAAGAGGATGTTACTCTCAATGTTGTTGGCGCATTTCAGTAGGACGCTGTTAATAAAGTTACAGAATTACAAGGTTGGGCACCGCTGCTGTAACTAAAGCAAGCTGTTTCACACATGGACTTGGAGAATCCTTCCTCGGGAAATCTCCTGATTGGTTTACGTGGAGGTACTGCAGAGTGTGCGGGATGCAGAAACCATGACGACTACTCCCTAGCTATGAATTCACTGGACTATAACCTGCAGTACTCTCACGTCAGCACAAATTGTTGCATTTGGACAGCAGACTTTGCACTATGGAGTTGGCAGGTTAAAGAGTTGGGTTGGATGTTTGCGTTCTCACAGCCACGTTTATCCAGGTGATGTCTAAAAAAAAGTTCAGGGCTTCAGTGTGAAAGCAGCTTATAAGGACAAACTACCAAGTGAATGCAGAGGGACATCTGATTACTGTAAAGAGCTAAAACTGTTTGTGATTATTATATGAATGTATGAGTTTACATTGCTCAGGAGCCCTTTGAAGACAACCAGCTCCGTATTCAGATGCTGGACCCTGCGAACCAGCTCGTCCTGGCAGCCTTCGCTCTCCTGCAGGTCCTGCACACGCAAAAGAAGTCATAATGAGCAAATGCACTTAACCACAACTCTCTTTACTGTAGTTTTTGGGTCACATTGTGCAAAAAGATTTTATCTGCAAAGAGCACATTCAAATCCTAAATGCATAATCACTTCTGGGAAGCTCTAAATGAGTCTGACATCATGGTAACCCTCAAAGTCTCCCCGCTGATTTATTCACACGTGCTGCAGTTACAATACTCGAGAAGCAGTTTTTTACCCTTTTGTGGGCTTAAAGTGCGGTGGTATTTCCTGTCAAATTGGGTCAGGTAAAGATTCCTCGCAATGGGGCACATGCTCAAAAACACATATACAGGAAACCACTGGGCTTAGAATGAGACCTTTGCCATGAAGTCAACATTTGGGGGGTAGGAGGCATTCATTTTGGGGGCTTTATCTGTCATCTCAGTGGTATTCATATTCTCGCTCTTAACTGTTACTGCACAAAAAAAGATGAATGTCACAGCTACTCTTCATCACATGTGTCTACATGTAGACTAAAAGCAGACTTCAATCAAACACTAATGCTAATCAAGCCAGAACTGTTAGACAGCATACTGAGTATTCATTTAATTTTTCAGCATTTCACTTTGGCTATATATAAACTAAATTATGCCATAATGAATGGTTTCATTGTGGGGAAATGTGTTTATAAGGACACAAGTGCAAGAAATACAGTAATTGCAATTTGATGGTTGGCGACAGGCAGATATAAATACAACTTTCATGTCCTTAAATCCATTTTGGCACTGTTAGCAGTGGATGGTTAAGGGGTTTCAGGAAAAAAGCAAATCAATTAAAAGAGAGTGCACTAGCATTGGATGACTCATTGATAGCAGCTAAAGAAGCTAATAATCATTGCCAGCAAAGAGAAAGAGGTATGTGCTTGGCAAGATCAACAAACAGCTGCAGCACAATCTATATTTAACCAAACTAATCCGCCCTACTTCTCTCACTTTCATGAAACTATTTAACCTTTAACATTATTGTAAAGACGCCAGCGCAGCCTTAGCTAAAGCGTCTCATGCAGCATAGAATTAAAAATTTAAAGCGAACGGATATGTATTAAAGACGTGTGTGTGTGTGTGAATGTTTGTTAATTCTGTCACTTCAGAGAACTCACATCAGTTTTCTGAGGACTGCCTGACAGCAACTATTGCGGGTACTTGCCAAAATCTAACCTCTGCCTTCATAATAACATATAATCATTTATAATATCGAGACTTTCAGTCCCCACAGTGTGACTATATAAACAGATTTATGTTCCCCCATCTTGAGAAATACAAGAACAGACAAAAAAAAGGGTACATAATGTTACCTCCTGTAAGTCTGCAATCTTCTGTTGCAGATCCATCCTCATAGTGTATTCCTCTTCCCATCTAGGAGACACAGAGATAAGTTTAAGAAAGACATTAATAATCTTCTAGTTCATGTCTTCTCGGATACAGAGATCAGAGACAAAGAACAAAACATAAATTAGGTCTTCATCAGCTTTGCACCTCTTGACATTTATAAAAGCAGACAATGCTCCTGTGAATCAATTAATTCAGGAAGCTGAAAGGCTAAAGGGGCTAAAAGTCCATTTAAAATGCACCTCTAACTGCAACAATCACATTCTTGATGATTCATTACATCAAGTAATTCAGCAATCAAGGCTCAACCAAACAAAACACACTTTCGACAGGAGACGGATAACAAGTTGCTTAGGAGCAGCAATTTACTCTGCACTCACTGCTGAGCACCGCCTACCTAAAAGTGGAATTAAATCTGTGCTGTAACACTTTAACAGGCGCTGGTGTAGATAAAAGGCTGAGAAGGCAACCACATGCTGCAGGGTTAAATGCAGTTGCCTGACTTCAGCTCTGACCTGAGGCCCTTTGCTCAGTCTTCCCAGTTTCCAGGCAAAATGCCTAAAATAACTAGCATATGTGTGACCAGACATGTAGTAAAAGTAAGTAAAGCTGTATTAGCATCTCCAGTTTGTTTGGAGTCTCCAATTTGTTTCAAACTAAATGTGAAACATGGTCACCGTCTTGGTTTTGGTGTTGATTAATGGCCAGAAAAGTGTTTTTGCAGAGTATTACATTGTTACAGTGAAGCTGACCTTTGACCCTTTGGATTCATCAATTTCACCAATTTAATTACTGTATGAAATATTGTTATTTTATAATAAGTGAATGGGATGGTTGTCCTGATATAGACAACCTGAAAATATTTTCTATCTCCACTGGAATCTGTCCCATAAACAAATTTTTAATTTCTAAATCATCAAAATTTACATTACTTTTTTTTTTCTTTAAATGGTAAATGGCCTGTATTTATATAGCGCTTTACTAGTCCCTAAGGACCCCAAAGCGCTTTACATATCCAGTCATCCACCCACAGGTGATGGCAAGCTACATTGTAGCCACAGCCACCCTGGGGCGCACTGACAGAGGCGAGGCTGCCGGACACTGGCGCCACCGGGCCCTCTGACCACCACCAGTAGGCAACGGGTGAAGTGTCTTGCCCAAGGACACAACGACCGAGACTGTCCAAGCCGGGGCTCGAACCGGCAACCTTCCGATTACAAGGCGAACGCCCAACTCTTGAGCCACGATCGCCCCGACTTAAAGGTGGACATGGTCCAGGAAGGTCAGTAAATTGATCCTCAGCTCTTCCTGTCCATGTCTTGAAGTATCCTTGGGTAAGATACTGAACCCCAAGTTAGTGTGGGTGTAAATATTTGATAAAAATGCTTAGGCACAGATAAAAGTACTGTGTGAATGAGACTTGGAGCGCTCAAATTAAGTAGATAGGCTGTCATTTATCTGCACAAAAAAGTACAACTAGATTTCAGTATAAGTGTTTGAGTCTCACACTAAAATCAGTTTACTGCAGTTATATTAAAGATAATAAAAAAGGTGTTCGACTGAGTGAATCACCGATCCCTCACAGGCCAACTCGCTGATGCATCTCAGACCATTGTGCCTGTGAATCTGATCTTTAACACATTTAAAAGCCTGAGCAGAGACTACTGCGTATGTGATCACAATTTCTGTGATTTCATACCACAAGGGGAATTTCACTCACTGCAGTCTGCAGCCTCTTATAAAAAAGCTGTTTAAAATGCAGAATGCTGCAGTACAAGAATCCCTACAGGGAATACTAAATCTGAAATAAACTGAGTCATGAAACAGGGGTTGTTGTTGTCATAGCAGGTGCTTGTTAGATCAGTAAGGAGAGCGCGCACAGAAAACTGAGAGGCACTTCCTTCTGCAAGCCAAGCCCCCCTCCACCAGTTACATCTTGCAGTGCATGCTGCATTGCAGATACAGTATGGAGTGTAGAGAGGACGACGGTGCGCAGTGGAAGGAAGAGAGTGTGAGAAAGGAAGAAAAGGTGCGACTGTGTCGGTTTTAAAAGAGAAAGAAAATATGAGCTAGAGCGTGTGGTTGGCAGAGAGAGGGGTTTTTTGGCAGTGACAGAAGGAGGGTAACGGGGGGAGAGACAGTTGTCCTTGAAAAAAATAAAAGAACAGTGCAGAGAGCTAGAGGAGGGTAAGTCTGAAAATTGAAATACACCACAAGCTGCTTTAGGTTGCAGTAAAGGTTCTAAAACAGATATAATAAAAATAAGATAACAAGCATTACATTATAAAATGGTATTAATATTTTAAAAGCTATGTAATAGCCTGAATCTGAGAGAATAAGTTTCGCATGAAGAAACATTTTGTGACGTCCTCATTTGTCCTGACTGAAGGGGGCTGCAGAGACCCCTCAAAACAACTCATTAGGGGAGGAAAAGACTTTGAGAGGGACAAAGTGTGTGAAACCCCTCAATTCACAAATAAAATGTATATATGTCTGGACAGCAGGCTGGGAAATGACGCACACTAGTGTCTCTACAGACAGAGAAAGCAAGCGTCTCATCTGTCTCACACTCTCTGGATTGTTAAAGTCGTCAATGTGCTTCATACACAAAGAGCCCACTATACTGTGCTCAGGATCTCCGCTGTGAAGAATGCATGGCTGCTCAATTGGATATAATCTGAGGGAATTTAATGATGAATGCGCAAAGGACCTTTTTGGAGTTAACAAATAATTACAAATAATACACAATCCACCAAATTTACAACAGGATTTATGCAGTTTTAGATGTTATTGCTAAGCTTTCTGGAGAAAAGACCAATCACATTGTTCCATATTAGCGATTAAGTGATTGGCCACATACACAGACAGCTGTCTTTCTAAAATGGAGATCAAAGCATCCATATTTGAACTGGTGATGTCATCAGATAAAGTCGCATGAGCTCACAGCAGCAACTGTGGATTACACGATCTCATATTCTCAGCAACGGTTAATCCTCTTCTACTCATCCATCTCACTTTCACAGAATAAGAGTGGTTGTAGCTTGTTGATAAGCTACAACCAATAAATGTTCAACATAAAAGATTGGTTCTTACTTGAAATGGGGCTCATAGCCAAATCTCCCATAAATAATTAGTTCACTTAAATGTTGGTAAATGAGGCTGTAAGTAATAAGTCTCGACATAATATCCAAAAATACAATCCTGAATTCTATTTTCACATTTCCTCTCTGAACTTCTCTCTAGATAAAATCATTACTGCCTTTCAGCATAAAACATGATGGCTCTCCATATGAGTGGCCACATGTTAATAAAATCCAAATAATATACTAACCTGCTAATATTTTCTTGCAGAACATAATGTGACAAAAAAACAAAGATGGGGCCTTTTTTTTTTCTTTAGAAAATGGTGTCATCACACAGTTTGTCCAGCTCAGACTCCAGTTTAAAAACACTCAGATAAATGTCTGCAGCACTTGTGTAAGGACATCTACAACAACACATTCTTGGAAAGATAATAAACAATGAGACATTATCTTCTCTTTTAACATAAAAGAATGGGTGTTTATGTGTATTATTTAAATAATATTTGCTAATATGTAACTCTAAAAGCTGATACTGATGTTGGCATCTGACCCATAAAACGTGTACAAACTGAGCTAAATGTTTGGCTGCACAGAGGACGACCACTAAGCTTTGACCTTGATTCTACTTCATGTTTGTCCCCTGAGGTGTTAATATTTTTTAGTGTATTTGTAGCAGCAGCACCTGCCTCTGTGGTTAGTCATGTGATGAATGCAGTTCCAGGCTTGAAGTGATCGATGTAGAGTTTTTGTGCTGACTCTGTGGTGTAGCAGGAGACAGCTGGTCTGCAGCTGTTCTGCTCACTTCTCCAAAGTAGAGCATTACATACACTCAATAAAGCTACAGAGCAATCACAAGATTTATTTATTTTTTAAATGGCCCTGAAGGAACTGCAATAAAAGGTTTGGTCCATTTACCTGCGTTTATACTCATCTCTCTCCCTCTTCACTTTAGCCAGGACATTGTACAGGGCTCTTATCTCGGGGGTGATGGTGTCAATCTGGACACCAACTCCATCCGGGTGCACCCAGGATACTCCTGGGCTGGTCAGACGCTCGGCACCGGGGCCGAACTTGCGGGTGTGGTTGTAGGACCAGATTGTGCCCGGAAGGAACCGTGGAGGAGGGTTGGTGGAGGCTCCCGGACCTGTGCTGTTGTTAGTTCCCGTTTTAGAGCCAGATCCCGGGGAGTCCACACGGGGGGAGGATAGGCTGATGGTGATGGCTGGGTTGCAAGCGGCATTTGTTTGTGTTGCACTCGAGTTTTCAGAGGCTGCAGGTGGCAGGGCAGGCGCGAGAGGCGTTGTGAACAGTGTCGTAGGCCTCCTGGCCGAGTTGTTGGTGTTGTGGAAGGGCAGGGAGCCGGGCCTAAGCTGTATCGTTCCGACAAATCCCGTCTGCACGCTTACCTCCTGGGTGTGCGCTTGGTTCTCACAGCATCCACCTTTGCAGCCCTTGTTGGCGTCCAGCGCCTGCTGTAGCTGCTTCTCCAGAATCTTATTTCTGCGCTCTAATTCGTGCACTTTAGCCAAAAAGCATCTGAAGCGCAGGTTGAGAGTTTTGAGGACGCTGATGTTGGAGCCCAGGTCGTTTCTGAGAGCCATCGCAGCAGGGGGATGCGGCACAGGGCGGTGCTGATAGTGGCTGCTGTGATGGAGATAAGTTGAAGACTGCGAGGGTGCGGTGAACTCAGGCCCCGAGCCGGGCTGCTCACCCAGCAGAAGGGAAGCCTCGTCCGATGCACCGAAAACAGCGTCGGGAAGGAGACCTGAGGGAGAGTCCGGGTGTCCGGGCGCCTGGTTCTGCTGCGGATGCTGTTGGAGATGCGCGTTGGCCCCCAACAAAGGATTCATGCTATGGTATGGAAAACTGAATCGCTGCAGATCTGGCATGAACACGGACAGGAACTGGCTTGCTACAACAGAATATTGTTATAATATAGATAATAAGAAGTCTGACATCCAGGAACGGCGTGTGCGTAAAACGCCTATGGCCCCGTTCACTTGGTTATATAACTGTTTATAAATAAGAATCTTATCCTTAAAGCCCAAAGGTCTTAACGTCGGCTGATGGATCAGTGCTCTCTGACGATCCACAGAAAAAAAAACAGCCTAAATCAGGACAGATGGATTTGGAAGAAGACTACAGAACAGCGTGATGCTTTGCAATAATAAATGTAAAATAAATGATGAAAAAGCCGCAGAGCATGAATGAATAAGAAAGAAATCCGGCGTCTCCGCGTTACTGAAGTTCTGGCAACAAGCTGTGACCGCAGGCAGGAGAGAGCGCTGCGGGATTGGAAGATCCGTCTGCCGTAAATACGCGAATAGAGGAGCCTTAATTAACTGTTTGCTTTCTTGTTCACATTTGAAATCATTAGCCACAGCTCCAAACAAAAAACATTAGAGGATTTAGTGAAACTGGACTGAACCGTGACGTCAGACCTGGAAATCACGCTTTCACTGTTTTGCGGTCATTTAAATTTAAGTTAGAATTAGTCCAGTTTTTTATTTATTTATTTTTTTAGAGTAATTCAGCATGTTTGTTTATTCTTATTAAATCTGATGGAGAGTTAAACAAGAAGACTGCTATCCAATTCGCCAGTTACATGCCTAAAATTACTGGTGTTTATGTTACTTATCACACTATAGTAGCAAAAAATAAATAAAAACACCTCCTCTGTGTAACCCACTATCTTTCAATGTGACCATAAAGCTAAATCACCTGAGTGGAGCACTGTGGGGTTAATAAGTCCCATTAGCTCAGGCATCCCTGAGGGGAGGATGGCCCTTTAGGACAGGTGGGAGGTGCAAAGGAGACAAAAGACACAAACTTACTGACATGCAGGGGTGCTTTATGCTTCAGGGGAGACACCAGGGAAGAGGGAAAAAATATAAAAGCTTTGTATTTTTAAATAAATATATTTTTTTTATTTTTTTTATTTTTTTACAACAGAAACTGGAGTTCGGTGGATCAGTTACATGGTGCTTCTTCCAGACAACCAGTGAGACTGAGAATTTATGGCAACAGAACAACTTAAAAGATCCTTTAACATCATGTATCACACTGTAACTCTAACATCTTAAAGTATAAATTTTAAAGTCATCCAAATCAGAGGGCAACACAGAGGTTTTCAGATATTTGTGCATGAGAGCAGACAGGGTCAGGCAGGGCTAACTTTGCAATGTATTTTCGTACCACTTGTCCATCGCTTTTATTAAAATAAATTTGCAGTTCACAATCAAACACTTTATTATTACATACAGAAAGTACAGTGTGATTTCTCCTGACATACTGAGTTGTGATCTGTAGACAAACTTTGGTTTTAAAAACGAGAGAATTGTGAATTTTGTTCCCCATCATAGATGGGTTTAGTTTGAGGTTAGGAGAAGGTGTCACCGACGTGCTGAGACAGATTTCAGGAAAGAGCTTCATAATCTTAGCTGAATGATGTGTTAGTATAGCTATATTGTGCATTGTTTGGCTTGGGTTCTCCTCACATTCCTCAGTTTTGTGAAAGACTGACAAACAAGAGGTTTGAAAAAAGGCAATCCAGAGTTATTAATGCCACTGTAATAGGATCAGGTCTATGTCAGAGGTGCACAGGTGGAGTCTGGGTGTCCACATCCTTGAGTTATCCTGGATTGTCAGCACTTCCATGTGAATCCAAAAGGCATCACAGCAGCTGCTTTCTGAGGCCTTACCATCCTCCAGGATGGCACCAGAGGAGCCAGACTTCCAGCAGAACAACTATTTATTTAAATAAATCAATCCATGCTTCATATGAGTGCTTTCAAGTCATTTTGTCATACTGAAACAAAATTAATTCAAGGAGTGGTGATGGTGCACATGTTTCTCTTCAGAATACAGATGCTTTAGCAAGTGTAAAAGAATGAATAAGGTTACACTATGACCTCCACAGTCACCAGATCTCACCTCAACTCCTGGATTTTTGGTGATCCTCTCCACTTCTGCACCTGCTTGTGTGTCATATTCACTGATCTCACCATTTGAGGTACATTAAGTGCCGGTCCTAACATTGGCCTCATCTTTTATTTCAAACATTTTGCACAGTTTTGTTTTGTTTTATTTAAATCCATCAGATATCCTCTCAGGGCTGTGCAGCAGCTCCTCTGTGTTCCAGAGTTTGATTTCAGTAATGGACCCAAAAAAAAACCCCCCAAAAAAACAACAACTTTGTTTAAAACTAAAGATTCTGTTATTATGAAACTGAATTCACCTTTATATACTTAAATGTTAATGTCTTGTCAGAAATTCATCAGGAACAGCACTTTGGCTTATTTTCCTTTCAGTAAATAACTAATCTACTCCTCCAGATCAGCCTTCATACATTTCTGTTCAGATATAAAGGAGGAACAGGAGACTGAATCTCACAAACGAAGGACTTTATTCCACCACTGCAGTACTTCAGTACTACAGACAAGCAAATACATTCACACCTTTACTCCAAACCCAAGAACAGAACAGGGAATTTGAAAAATAGAAAAGAAAAAAAGAAAAGCATTGGTCTCCAATTTAAATCTTCTTTTGCTCTATGTGGGACCTTTCCTCAGGCGTATTATGGGGATGGCTACATGATGAAACCAGAGTCACAGAGAATACAATGCCTTTTTGTACATTTGTAACTCAGGACTAAGAAGAATGTGGGCTATGCGACAGTTCAGCGACAGCCAAGTTTACTCCTTGCTAGCCATGTGGGCCATCAGGTCGCAGACACGGTTGCTGTATCCAAACTCATTGTCATACCTGGTGAAGAGGGGAGAGGTTAGCAGGAAACACTGGCAATAAATAGAAAGACATTGAAAGTAACCAGTGTTGAAGGCGTACCATGTGACCAGCTTGACAAAGTGGTCGTTGAGGGCGATGCCAGCACCGGCATCAAAGATGGATGAATGGCAGTCGCCGTTGAAGTCTGTGGACACGACCTTTAGGACGGGGAGAAGAGTGTGGCACATCAGCAACAAGATCCACAGACAAAATGTAGCCATGAAGTGACAAAGTTTAGGGCGTACCTGGTGCTCTGTGTATCCCAGAATGCCCTTCATGGGTCCATCAGCGGCAGCCTTCACAACCTTCTTGATGTCATCGTATTTGGCCTGAAAAAGCAAAGCAGTTATATTTGCAATTTTTAAAGAAATAAAAACACAAGCGGTGAACCACATGTGTAAGTCTGAATTTAAAATCAAAGTCATCCACCCATTTTAAAAAGGAAATTTCTAGATCAATATTTTGTAAATTGCACATGTGATACTCACTGGTTTCTCCAGACGGACTGTCAGGTCAACCACCGACACGTTGGGGGTGGGCACACGGAAGGCCATGCCAGTCAGCTTGCTGGGGGGAAAAAATAAATAAAATGTTTCACTTGAGTACTGGAGCATTACAAAGCAAAATATTGTTTTAAATTGTTCATTCGAGTAGTGTTTTATTTGCACTCACCCATTGAGCTCAGGGATGACTTTGCCGACAGCTTTAGCAGCACCAGTAGAAGCGGGGATGATGTTCTGGCTGGCGCCACGGCCATCCCTCCACAGCTTGCCAGAGGGACCATCCACAGTCTTCTGGGTAGCAGTGATGGCGTGAACTGTGCTCTAATAGACAAACAGAAAAATAAAAATAGGAGGACAATTAAAAATGTAGCTTAAACATCATTTCTTCAAAACTGCTTAAGTGCTGTGTATGAATTCCTACCATCAGGCCCTCAATGATGCCAAAGTTGTCATTGATGACCTTGGCCAGAGGTGCCAGGCAGTTGGTTGTGCAGGAAGCATTGCTACGGAGAAAGAACTAACATCAGTCAAGTTTTATTTTTAAAATTAAATGTTTTAAATGAATGAAATTAATTATAAATGCAAGATCAGTAAAGACTGTCACAGCTTTCATTAGAACAGATGTGTAGTTGTTATTCATTGTGTTCAAAATATATTCCTAAATCTGTGATTTTGGCAGCAAAAACTCATTCATCTCCAAATATACCAAAAAGATTCTTACCTGACAACCTTGAGGGACTTGTCATACTTCTCGTGGTTGACACCCATGACAAACATGGGAGCGTCAGCGCTGGGTGCAGAGATGATGACTCTCTTGGCACCACCCTTCAAGTGAGACTGCAGGATCGCATTGAAATCATTCAGTTTTCTTTTTGCACATCACATATAGCATACTACCTTTTTCTGCATTCACATTTTACATGATTTAGTACTTACAGAGGCCTTCTCAATTGTGGTAAACACACCAGTGGACTCCACCACATACTCTGCACCAGCCTCACCCCATTTAATATTGGCGGGGTCCCTCCTGAGGAAAGAAAATAGGGGTTATCTCTGAAACCATTACACAAATTAATAGCTTACACAAATATGGCAGGCGAACTCAACTTACTCGTGGAAAACTGTGATTTTGTGTCCATCGATGACCAGCTTGTCTCCCTCAACCTTCACCTCGCCTTTGTAGCGGCCGTGGGTGGAGTCATACTGGAACATGTAGACCTAGAGAGGGGATAAGGAGAACTTTTTAGACAGGCTTCACAAAAACAGGGGGGGAGAATAAGTGAAGTGTGTGTTCCTGGCTCCAAAAGCCCTCATTTTATATTTAATTTACCCAGTTTGCTAAAATGATCAAATTCATACTTACTGGAAATGGAAGAAAAAAAAAAATCCAACAAGTATTTGACAAATAATTTTACTAGAATTATGTTATTCTAACATTCAGTCATACAAAGCTTGTGGTGAGTTCGAGCTATATTCCTTTCATTTCCTCCTTGACTGACCATGTACTCCAGGTCGATGAAGGGGTCATTGATAGCGACAATCTCCACCTTCTTGGAGTGGAAACCAGCACGGGTCACCAGACGACCGATGCGGCCGAATCTGAAAAATGAACAAGAGGCGTTTCTCATTCTGGCCAGTAGGTGGAGACATCACACCACATTAAACTGACTACAGTCACGTCTTTGAGTTTCGGTAAAATGAAGGCGCTTGTTAAGATGATAAATACGAAAATAGATTTAAAAATAATAATAAATCAGAGCAGAGTTTGATATTTAGTCAGAGGCTTCCCTGTAACAGTTTAGATTTTTCTTTTGTGTGGGGCGAGATCTCCCCAGAAGACCTGACACCACAGTAGAAAGGCCAGGGTTCAAGAGGAGGGGCTGAGGGGGGTGTGTGCTTTTCTCTCTGAGAGGCTAAAGTCGAAATTAACCTCCAATGTGGTAATCCTGGTTACGCAGTGCACTGTTTGAACAACAGCAGGGTTACTTTTTAACCACAGGTCCAAAACTCCGGGCACATAGATACACTCTGTCCTGAGAGACCAGGAAGAGAGGCGGGTGGATGACAATTTATTGAAAACAAATGCGTAGATCCGCGTCAGAACACGTGCGCTCATTGACATTTAGGTTACATAGGTCGCCTTTCACTCGCTGATGACCCCGAGGTCAAAGGCACTGGCTATTTAAGATCAACAAGAACATGAGAACAGCCGGCTGTCACCATTTAAATAACACAGCAGGTTGTAGAAGGGAAAAAACCCTTTTTGAAGGCTAATTTTAAAAATAGACCCTCCAGTAAAGTGACAGGACAGAAGACCAGCCTGAGACAAGTTTTATGTAGCTGTTCCCCAATAGTGAATAATGTGAAATGTTATGCATTATTCCTTAAAGTGCACTGAACTGCAGAATTGCAGTGTACTGGACACTGCAATTGTCCAGTACACTGGGGCCCTCGTTTAAATAATCACATTATCCCATACACTTGGATAGCATCTTGCACAATACCTGCATTCTTTAATACGGGAGTTCGTAAAACAAACTTTAACAAGCGTGGAAACCTGAGCCAAGACAGCGGCGTGGAAATCATTCCCCACTGATGAGAGGGATGTGGTGGTGGGAGTCGGAAAGAAAAGTCCAAAGCTGAACCTCAGTGTGCGTTGCTCATTTGGTTTAATTAGAAATATTTAGAGGAAGTGAAGGGGATGATCATTCTTACCCATTGATACCGACTTTCACCATTTTGCCTGGGTTGGTCTAGTCCTCTGGAAGGAAAAATGAGAGGGGGAAAAAGGTAGCATTGCGAAATTTATGAGGTACTTTATTAGCATTAAGTTGATGATAGCTGCTTGGACTGCAGGTTAAGATAAGTGAAGACAACTTCAAGAACAACATGTGAAAAGTATTCTACTGATAAGCGATCTGTGATCACAGTCCAAGTAAAACTCAAAGCTAATCTGCATCGAGGAAAAAAACTTTAGACTTTGCAAAACTAAAAGCATAAATGACTTAATAAACATGTTAAAATCTCTTGTCCTGCTAAACTTCAAACGTAACGATGATGTAAAGTGAGTTTCTTTTGACTTTATGACCACGTGTGCTTTAAAATTGGGCACAATTAAGCTCGTGCAGATTTTTCCAGGTGATCTAAATCAGCGCGTTGAGTCATGCAGCCTGAAGCCAATAAATTATTTGAAGGTATTTACCGTTTGTGAAGGGGCTCTGCCTGTCTTGGGACTCCGGATGTGAGTGGGTAAGAGCAAAGTTAAGCTGCGTGTTTTATGATTGACCGAGGTGTGCAACCACGCCCCCATCAATGGTGACCACTCCTCGCCCCGCCCCCTCTGAATGTCAAGGTCGTCAGATGCACAGAGACATGCAGAGTGGCCGCTGCAACTTTACTTTTAAAAAGCTCTGGTCTTATGATCTAAGCTCTGCTGCGCATTAAAGGCCTGAATCTGGGAAATGTTTAACTAATTTTTCATTATTCCAGCAGCCTGTGCCATCAGGCCTGCTTTGTGATTCCACTTTTAAAAGCACCAGATATAGATACCAACATATTAGAGTCCTCAGATAGTGGACTGAAAAAAGAGAGGGGTCTCTCTCTGACCTTCTCAGTAAATACAGACACACAGAGGGAGCAAACGAGGGATCAAATCTCTCCTTCATGGCTGTGACATTTACTGTCCAAAGACCATGACCCTTTGCTCTGTTGCTACTCTTCTTTTGCTGCTGCTCCATCCCTTCAGCAGAAGTCAAAAGTTGAACTTTGGTTACCTAACGTGAGCACATGATCACAGCGCGCATGTGCACAGGGGTAGATTTACTCAGCTGAATTTTGGCTTTATCAGGTTATTTGGTAACCGCTGAAACGCGTCATTGGGAGGCAGGTTATTTTGTCGGTGCTTAGCTGTTTTCACTGTTGTTATCTGTTTTTTTTAAAGTACGTTTTTGTCTTTTTATGACAACAGTGTCGACACAGAAAAGAAAGGAGGTCAAGATATCTTAAAAATAAATCCAAATAATGAGGGTGTCACTTTAAACCATAAGGCCAGTCAGTCCCAATCTCTCACTAATACCCCCTGCCACTATACTGGGCCTTAGCAGCCAGCACTCCTGATAGTGAATCCAAACCTGGCATGGCATCTTGTCACCAGAGAAGCATTTGAACTTGCAACACTTTGCAGGTCTAACTGAATAAAATTGTAATACTTAGTAACTTTTATTTTCCAACTCAGCTGCCCACAGGGTCAGCAGCAGACCTGCAGACGTGTCGTTCTGCACCACAGCTGGACAGTGATGGTTTGTTTTATGACTTCTGTCCAACAGTTCAGGCATAGCTGAACTACCACCACCCCGAGTGCATGCATGCCAGTCTTGGCCTCTGCTTTGCAGCTTAAGGTCAAAGAGGGGAAGTAAAGGTCAGGCTAAGATTAGACACAAGCTGCCTAGTCAACACTTGGGCCATGTCTGTACTGTAAATGCTGCCTCACTCAGATCACATGTTCTTTTCATATTACAACAGTTAAACTCGACCCACTGTAGACAGGCAGCAGCCACACAGCCACGGAGTAAAACAAGTGTGGAAAGGACTGTTTTACTTAAGAGAAACGTGAGTTATTACTCAGCTAGAACTGAGAAATGTGTTTGAACAGGAACTTTAAACTAGAGTATCTACTGTAAACAGGCTCTTTTTTTGTTCAAGTTTATTTTATCAGCAGCGGGAAACAAACTGTATCAACTGCACATCAGTGATCAGCATGCAGGCACGTCTGCAGGGAGGAGAGGCCTTCAGCTACGTTTGTACAATTTGTCTCCTTAAAGCACAGTGCAAAGTCCAAAGAGCAGCTGTGTGTGGCAACGAGCAGATGAACAAGAGAAAATTCATACTGCCATCTTGTGTTGTGGTTCAAGCAGCCACCAGGTCAAGCTCAGATGAAAAAGAAAAGGGACAGTCTTAAAATGATTTCATTAAACCCTAAAAAGAAACCAAATTTCTACAAGAGGATTCAGTCAAGACTTACGTATCCATACAGACTGTAAGATTCCACGTATAAGGCTGATGAACAGTGAACATACAACAAAAATGTAACTTTTTTTTTAGCAAAGGTTAGAGTTTGGGGTATGCTAGCAGGGTTCTGAAGTGAAGAGACTTATGGGACCAGTTTGTACTCATAAATCAGGAGCATGCCTGCAGTAGAAAAAAGCCATTTATAATTAGAACAACACGATTCTAACAGTCAAGCACAGACATGGCTCTGCCCTATTGTCCGGGTGCTTTGCTGCTGTTGGGAGTGGTAAATCTGTGTTGCTGCCATAGTTTAAGCTTTATATATCAGGCGAGTTACAAGAAGAGACATTCTCTCAGGGAGTAATTTTAACGCCTGTTAATTATTGGAATTTCCAGTAAGACAATGGCCTCAAACATGAGTATAAGTCAACTAAAGCTTTCTCCAGGCATCCTCCCTGAATGAAAATCTTTGGCAAAACACCATGTTATGAAAAAATCATCCACCCATACATCCAGTTTCTTAAAAACAATGGGGCTCGGAGCTTATCCAGTTGTCATAGGTCAAAAGGTGGTACGCCTTGGACAGAGTTCCGGTCTATCTCAGGGCTAACGACGAGATACAGACATTCACACCCACAATTTTGAGTTACCAGTTAACCTAAAATGCATGTCTTTTAAACTGTGGGAGGAAACCAGAGTACCCAGTGAACCCATGCAGCCACAAGAAGGACATGCAAACGCCACACAAAAAGGCCCCAGACCCAGTGTTAACCACCACACCGCCGTGTCACTTCATGCTTAATCTACCATTCACCAAAGTCATAGCTGGTGTGTTTTACTTTATTATAATCAATAGAATCATTTATAGTAATGGAGATTTTTTTGTTGGGAGTGACGGAGATGAACAGGATTAGAAATGAATGCTTCAGAGGGACAGCTCAGGTCGAGCAGTTTGGAGACAAAGAGAAGCAAGGCTGAGACGGTTCGGACATGTGCAGAGGAGGGACAGTGGATGTATTGGACAAAGGATGTTGAGGAGGGGGCTGCCAGGCAGGAGGAAAAGAGGGAGACCTCAGAGGTGGTTTAGGGATGACAGAAGGTTGGTGTGAGAGAGGAGGATGCTGTGGGATAGGGTGCGATGGAGGCAGATGAACGGCAGCCAAAAGAAGAAAATATACCCATTAGAATCACTTGTAGGTTTTCTGGGTAAGTGAAAGGCTGTGGCAGGAAGAATATGTTTATAGAGATGTACATTTATTTAAATGTTAGGAAATTGTGAAAAAATATAAAAAGGTCATAACAATTTCTCTCAGTTTTTGAGAGCCTTGATCAACATCTTCAAATTGACTTTTGAAGATTCAAACATTTGTAGTCCCTCAATGTGTGAAAAACAGAAAACAGGTGGAACCAGAGAAATGCTGGCCATTAATTTTCAGTCAGCTGTTTAGGCTCTGATGATTTTCAGATGTTAGTAAGCAGTGATTTGCCATTATAAAACGTTTTCAAGTTTCTCTAAATCTGCAGCTGGTTTGAAGGATCTTGAATTTTAGGACACAGTGAAAACCTAACATGTTTTTAATGCGTACTACACGAGCTCCTCACAAGTTTGTGCATTACCAGCAAATTACGTCATAGTGTCGACTGTTAGATTTGATATACCTAACAATGAACATCCTTACTGTATGTTAGTCCCTAAAATATGTCGATTTTTACAACTCTGTTACTACACAGATTATTTTATGCATTCACGCCATCTAATTCTGTAAGCATGTTAAATCTAATTCTATTTAAGCTCATAGGGAAAAAAATTAGCATTTGTTTTTCTTCCCTGGGAACTTTGTTGTAATGCCAGAATAAAAAAAACAGTTTTGGACGTTGCAGCCGATCTTCAAATGTTGACCGCTTTTGCCAGAACGACGAGGGAAGAAATGAACTTCCTCCAACAGTCATGAGAAAAAATAATTTAGAAGAGTTATTATATCTGTCATGAGAATTTGATGCTCTGTTTTGAAGGACAAATTGAGATGACGTGTGTGAATACAGAATGAACCATGTGGGCTTTTTAATGCAAGGAAGGAACTGGATTTTATGCGGGGTTGAAGTTAAAAAAAAAAAAAAAAAAAACCCAGAACGCCACAAATGTCAAATCCATTTATTCATGCAAATCATAAGTAAACAAAAATAAATTGCAGAAATTTCTGATGCCATCATTTTTTGACTATCCACATCTATTACGGCTGCTTTTAAACAAAATCACCTGTCCACAAAAGGTCTAAACGTTTACAGAGTTGCAGACAAAGCTAGAAGTACGGAAAATGCTAAATTACTTGAAAAATAAGCCCAGAAATTGATGGTGATCATTTGATGTAAACACAGCACACATGTTCTAATATTCAGGTTAACATTTAGATATGGAATAAACTGTGAAGTATCTGATCTACACTGGATGAAACCACATTAGCAGCACTGTAAGTTTACACCATACTACACGCATGTAAACATCCTTCTCTGCAGGTGAATGCCTATGCATGTGTGTTTCCTAATAATCTAAGAAGGATGTAAGCAGTCTTTAGTTTCCTCCTCTGTCTCCACTAACAGCCCAGTCCACTCATAGACCCGATCCGATCCAATTTCAGGCCAAAGCATCCCCGATTCCACCCCCTCCGTGACCGGTCCGGTTCTGCTCGCTTTTGGTTGGCCAGGGTGCCCTTCAGCAGACGGAGCCAGGGGGTCTCGGGCTGAGTTTGTGCATCAGCCCATTTGGGGTATTCAGCAGCTTTGGACCCGGAGGAGAGGGTGGACTGCTCCTCTGCTTGGCTGTTGAGCATATTCTCCAGGTCGTCAAGGGTCAGAAGGTCATTGTAGCGTTCCAGAAATTGCTCCACAAACTGCACAGTGGAAAAAAAGAAGGAGAAGATGATGAAATTTAATTGTCGGGGAGTATACAAGGGACAATAATTCAATCAGTGATACATTTCATTACTCTCTCTCTGCTTATTCTTTCCTGTTCTGCCTCCCATCCTTTGTGGACTCTCCTTGATTCACTCTGAATTCTCCTCAATCTATTTTTTTTTTTAATCCAGCCCTTCACATCCACTCCAATCTCCTCCTGTACCTGCACAGCATCAGGAGAAGGATGCAAAGCACGAGCCTCTGTGATCTCCAGGGGAGTCAGGAGGAGCAGAGCGGCACAAAGCAGCACAGGGCACAGCATGGCAGCGGATGAGGAGCAGGAATAACTGGAATCACACCGGCTCAGAAGATTCAAACACTGATGAAATCCTGGAAAAAAAATTTTCATTATTCAATGTAAATATTTTGATATAAATACTGAATCTCCACTAATACTCCACAGATTGTTTATTTGACAATTTAGTGTCTAAAACACATCTTTTATTGTGTGTTCACAGATAAACATTGCTGCGCAGTAACAAGTGACGCAAGTAAAATATGCACAGCAAATATAATGTATGCACGGGGCATCTAACTGAAGGCAACTGGTAGTAAATAGAGGTCAAAAGAACTCAAATTCATGAATCTTAGAAAATAAAATTGACATTTGTAATTGTTATTTGAAGAGAAAAACATTTCATTTTTGCAGCATCTTAAATTTTAAAAATAAATTAATAAAAATAAATAAATTGAAATATTAGAATTATGAATAAAGAGCTTCTAAAATGTTAATTCTCTCTATATTTTTACAGATATCAAAAAACACTGTCTGGAGTTACTGTGTAGCGATTTTTCTTTTATGTAATGCAAGATTTTATTTACATTCTTTAGGATATGCTAATTCTAACACAACTATGAAAGAGGAAATTTAAGAGCGCTCACCTGTTGTTTGGTTCTTTCTCAAAGCTCTTGGTGTCTTCTGCTATTACAGACTCTTCTCCATCTCCTTCGGTCGCTCAGCTACCTCTCACTTGTTGGCACCTGCTGGGAGCATCACTATCTCACTCAACTGGCTCCTCCTATTCTTCGCCTTCGCTCACTGATGGAATTGGAGGGATGATTTTCTTCCTCTTGCGTCTGTCCCTTTGGCAGTGGCTGAATGCTGGGGCATCAGCTGGGATGCTGCAGAGGTTTTGTAGAGCCAGAGACACCCTCCGCCCCCAAGCACCACCACCCCCACACCATCTTCCTCCTCATTTTTTCTTTGGAGTGATGTCATAGCCTTGTAGAGTCATTGCCATTGCCAAGGTGACTGTGTAGTTTGGACCATGTTAACCAACTGGCCTCAGCCTAAGCTGAGGTCAGAGGGCTGCATTCAGGTGATGCCTTGTCAAAAGTGACCAGTGGCTATAAAGCTTTGCATATTTCAGTCACGACTTAATCTGAATTATACCTTTCCCATGTGGTGACAACACTCTTTGTGCATATTAGCCACCCTCTCTCTCCTTTGTCTCCGTGGTCTTTCCCAGCATGCACTGACCTCCCCTCTCTGTTGGGTTAGTTACAGTCTGTCAGTGCCATCTGCTGTCGGACCCCCTGCCGACAAATTACAACACCATCAGGAGCTGCGCGATCCAATGCATTGACCTTAAAGGTCAGCAGCCTGTGATTATTTCAAGTAAATAAACCCCCTCAGAGATCAGATCAGAAATCAGTTGTTTCAGTCTTAATCTTTCACAAACAAGAAATTCATCTGTGCACAGTACCAACTAAAGTTTAAAAACTAAACATTTACTTCTATTTGCACACTTAGCACCCACTGAATACATTTAAACCATAATTTGTCCTCTGATAAAAACTGAGCCGCTTTTGCAATCACATTGTTATCATCCTGCGGCTGGTAAGTGTCTTTACATAACGTATCAAATCGCACATACAGAAAAACGCACCCCTCTCATGTTTTCGGAGGACAATGTGTGGGAGAGGGAGTAGGCGAAAAGGAGAGATTAGTGATGAGGCAGGGGGGAGGAGGAGGGGAGGGGGGTTAAACTACTGTGTGTGATGTCAGTGGAGAGAGGAGCGCTGGAAGAAAAGTAGGCAGGGGAGAGTAGGAGGAAGAGAAAGGGATGGAGAAAAGCACCAGGCAGAGAGCAGAGGGAGACCTACAAAAGAGATTGATTACAGGAGAACAGAGGCGGCCAACTAGGCAACAGCAAATGTGTCAGACAGAACAAGAGAAAAAAATAAAATGCAATTGTAACTAAAAAACAAAACACGCTTACTGGCGAGGAATGTGGTCATCAGAGAAAGACTGAAACCTGAAATTGTTGAAAACAACATATGAAAGGAAAAGAGAGCTGAGGAAGGTGAAGTAGGGAACCATGTGGGGTAGTAATACTGTCTGGGCAAGCTGTGGCAGCCCATTAAACACCGCTGTCCAAACATGATACAAGCAGACATTCAAAGCTGTTTGTAATGATGCCATAAATTTACTCGACATAACCCAGCGGACTCGCAAGCCTTCACACATTTGAGCAGAGGAATAAAACTGAGACAGGGAGGTTTCTTTCTCTCTTTTTTAATGAAAAACAGAACCAGGTTTATTAAAAGCCTACTTGATTTTGTGTCTTTACACATTATCATGCCTAGTTTAGATTGGTGCCAAGTACCAATATTAAAAGAATAAAAATAAAATAAAACCCAACAAGTATAATATTTCATTACAGATAAAAGTATTTCCAAAGATACACAGAAATAAGATTTAAAAAACAAAACGAGAACAATCAGAGTCAGTTTCTGAGGCGAGCTCGTCGGGACGTGCGTGCGATGGGCGTTGTCACTTTAGGGGTCTCGCTCTCTGCCATCACAGCATCTGATGGAGGTGGAAAAAAAAGAAAAAAGGAAATTGAAACATAATGAAGTGGGACGAGTAATGACGATGTCTGGGAACAGCCATGCACTATAAGAACAGCTGAAAAACCCGCACAAGAAATATTCAGGAATAGATTCAAGTCTAATTATTTTAAAATATATTTTTGTAACTCAGAAGTGTTTCAGTAACTCAAGTCTAATCAAAGGCTTAAAAAATAATCTTACCTGAAACACTTTGTCTAATTAATCACGGAAAGCATAAGATAACTGGAGATGATAACAGTTCTCTGGAAATGGTGGTTAGTTTTTCACGTCGTGTAATTTAAAAAAAAAATAAATCCTTCAAAGATACCCACAGATCTCGGATTAGTGCTGCAACAATGCACATCTCACTTTTTAGACCGAAGGAGGTCCAACGGTCTTAAATCGTCTCAGCTGCTGCTCCACAATCTCAGTCTAGTGGTCTAAGCACTCTGAACTCTGGTGTATTGATCCAAAGAATGTTATTGATTTGTAACACTTGATTTATAGCACTATGTCAACTCTACAGTGCAGCTTATCCCACTGCACATTGTAGCAACACACACCTCACCTAACCACAACACCTGCCATAGGTCTGACTGGTGCTTTTTTCTCTGTACATAACTTTATCAATCAGCTATTAAATCTTTGTTTATTAGCTTCTAATTCAACATGAAGCAGCTCGGAGCAGAGCAGACACACCAGAGGACAAACGCATAGATTCAATGCAGTACTATAAATCATGTTTTACAAGCTAATGAGACAAATTGAATACACTGCAGTGACAAACAGAGCATACTAAACACTTGACTAAAATCCAGCGAACTGGATGACAAAGTTTCTGCTTAAATAACAGACAACTGTTATTTGCTATTATCTGACATGTTACAATTCAATGGATTTAATAAGGGAAAAAAAATGAATTGCCTTAAAAATATGTATTTAGATGACTAAATAAATCAGCAGATGTATATTAAAAGGGGGCTGAGTGTGCTCCAGATTCTGATTCTTGGAGAGGGAGAGTAGCTTTGCATGACGCAGGTCAAAACTATCCTTATTGGTCTTCTACCGAGCCCCTCACATCATCCTTTTAAATAAGGCGTTTTAGCTTATTTAATAGGATGCGTAAGTTAACTTTGTTATTTGCTGCTCCTTGCAAACATAAGGTGAGTATCCAACACACAAGATTTGAAGAAAAAAAACAAAACAAAAAAAAAAACAAAAAACAATTAAGAGGAGGGGAAAGCTCAACACGTCCCCTTTAAGGATAATAATTTTTGATTCCAAGCAACTGACCCGCTGCAAAAAGTAATTTCTTACAAAACCCATTAAAACTGTTTGCAAATTAAGTGTAATAGTGACTTAATGAAGTGGCTTCACTCACCCTCTTCATCCTCCTCCTCATCACTGCTGAAGGTGATTGCAGGCTTCTTAGACTTGCGAGATTTGCGAGGCGTGACAAAACTGTCATCACATCTTGAAACTGGAGGCTTTCCTTGACCTGCAATAAAAATAAACATAAAATTTATCGTGTAACTAAAATGAGAAACAGACTATTTCTGCAACAAGGTTCTTCAAAGCAGGCTGACTCCTGACCTTGCTTTGACTTCAGCCGGCCTCTGGTGGGCGCAGGTGTTCGCGTGACTGTCTTCTCAGCAGACACTCCTGCTTTCTGGTTTTCCTCATCCATCTCTGGGCTTTCCACATTCTCCAGCCCCCGTGTGTGAACTGCAGTCAGACGCTGTTCAAACTCATCTACCTGAGCCTGGAAAACAAAGTTAACATTAGCATGGGATGGAATGAACTGGCATTTTATCTTTCACTGACCACTTAAACGTTCAGCACACCAGAGTCTTCTCCAGACATTTACAGACAATAGAAGCTTTTGATAATAGACAAAGTATCCACCGTTCAACTTTAAGTCTCACGTCTGTGTGGATCACACAGATGGCTAATAAGCATTCCCGTCATAGCTCTGTGAAGTTGGTCCAAAGGGTGCATAGACAGGTGCAGTGGACTGGTAAAATGGTAAATGGACTGGTTCTTATATAGCGCTTTTCTACTCTGAGCACTCAAAGCGCTTTATACAACTAATTCATTCACCCAATCACACCTATTCACAGAAGCACTTTTTCTAAGCTGTTAGTGCCTATCTAACATTCACATCCAATGGATGCATCGGAGAGCAACATGGGGTTAGTATCTTGCCCAAGGATATTTGGCATGCAGACTGGGATCGAACCACCAACCCTCCGGTTAGTAGCTGGCCTGCTCTACCACCTGAGCTACACATGACCGCGTGGTCACTGCAGAACTGACTTAAACAGGGAATAATATACCTTAAACTGTGGTTTAGCCCCACGACGGAGCTTGGCGGTGATGGAGAGCAGAGGCTGGTAGACGCCCGGTTCAGTCAGCTTGTCACTGTAACACTCCCAGCATTCCTGCAGCCTCTTGAAACCGCGCTCACACATGGAGAGCAGAGACAGAGACACGGCCAAGTCACACCACTGACGCTCTGTCCTGAGGAGAGAAAGAAAATCTGAAGATGAGAAATTGTGGGGGAAACCTGACTTAAGAAAACAAAGTGCACAGAAATTCTAAAACTCAATAAAAAAATTTAAAAAAAAAAGCTCATTCCTCATGAACATTGCATTGCCCTGACATTTAGACCAAATCTCATTTTCCCAGAACCTTCTTATATCCAAATTCATTTTGCCAACGTATAATATAAAATGCCCTTCATTTGAGCTTTGATAATGGACGGAGTATGAGTCAGAAGCTCAAGCATGGCCAGGCCAATTGTTCTGTCTACAGTTCCCAACTATACAGGAAGACAGTTTCCATGACAAAATCTGTGAATAAGAAGATGTCGGTGTAGGTGACAGGTGAAGTGAACTGTGAATTTGCATTAATTGTCAAACGCTCTCAGTGAAAACGCCCACTAACTACCCACACATCCACCCCCGCTTCACACACGATTAAATAAAGCAGGACAAACGAGAAAGTATAAAGGAAATGGTAAAGAAAAAACAAAACAAAGGATCCAGGTTAGAAGTGAGGATGGGAACTCACTTTGCAGTTCTAAAGCGCTGACACAGTTTCTCTACTAGAGACTCGGTCTGCCTTTCTTTAGTGATGTAGGAGAACAGCTGTCTGCAAACAAACACACACAATATAACATTTATTAAAAAAAGAAAGAACATTCAGTTGTTGAATTTCTCCTAAAAAAAATTCTTAAAGTCAAGTGAGAGTGGTGTATACTGTATATTTATACTGTAGGTCCCACTGAAGTTTTATTTTTAATATTGTAAAAGTGTTTGACTTTGCTAAACTACCTCTTCTTCCAAAAGGTATATAGGTATTACATCTTGTTCTGACTTTTCAGATATATCAGAAAACTAAATATTTTGCTTAAAAACTAGCTAAATAAATTAATATTGTTTGCACAACTTGTGTTTTTGTTTCTTATCCAGTCATTAAAAATATATATTTTTTAAAACAACCTAATTAATTACATTAGAACATTTGCAGAATATTTGTCATAGATGGAACCAGGCTAAGGAACAGTGTAGTAAGTATTCTTGTGCGTAAGATAATGGGGTCTTAATGACAGGAGTCATTTCAGTTGCCAAAATAGCTTGATTGCTTGGGGGTTAAACAAGGCGTCATTTGCATCATTTGCCTCAAGTCTGTGGTCTGCTTCACAGATGATGCAGTAAGAAAACGAAAACACGACATGGTACACAGCTGTGCATCTCACTTCATAATAGTGTTGAAGTCCTCTGAGCTCATGCCTCTCTCTGGGTCGGACAGGCGGCTGATGATGTCTGGGAGCAGGTTGTATATCGCATTGTCCTGATGGGTAACACAAAGAAAATGGTTAAAAACACTCCCCGTCACTCAGATTCCATCAAGCCTTCTGGATGTGGTCTACCTTTGTAGCAAGCTCATTGAAAAAGTTCAGGGCCAGGCTGTTAATGTGCGAGTCAGGGTCAATTAGCAATACAGCCACTTCGCTGACTTGACCTTTGACCTTGAGGACATCCTTAAGCACCAGCTGAGTGAGAACAGTCACAGCTGTCTGCCTTACTGAAGGAACCTCGTCACTCAGCCTGAAAGATAAAGGAAAAAAATAATGATAATAATACATAGTATTTCCTTTGTTACGCATCATCTGATCTTCTAATGATCTTCGATTTTCCATTAATGGGAGAAATGTGTATTTTCAAAGCCCAATTCAATGATATCTTTTAAATTTCATTTTCTGATGTGGATATTTACTGTAAATTATTTCCTACAGCCCACTCTTTGGTAATCCCCTTTTGAAAAAAGTTGCACACTACAAACCATGATAGCTTATTTTCAAAGCTGCATTTTGCCATAGTTGTCCTCTTAGTTAAACACAAACAACATGCTGGCGTACACACAAACAAAAATCATTCTGATATTTAGCAGGTAAGAAAACCAAGATACTTTTCCATCATAATTAAATATGCCACCTTTGATCGCTAGCAGTTAACACAATACAGTTAGCGCTGAGGGAACTCTCAGGTTTCAACACTGGCAATAGGTTAAGAAACAGAAAAATCAGTCAAACTGTTCTGGGATAATGTTCTTTTAATTTTAGAGGACACAACAGGTTGTGACATCCCTAAGGACCCCAGAGTGGTGTTTCTGGGTCTCGTACCTTGTGGCAGGATTAGAAGCACAGTTACCTACTGCTTCAAATTTTGACTATTGCATGTAAAACAAAAGAAACTAAGGACTAAAGCATGGACGATAGAAAACTATACAACTTAAAACACTGGTCAAAGGGTAAGACTTTGACCAGTGCTCCCGTTGATACTAACTATGTCAGATTATTGTGCTGTAACCATTTTACTTTCTGACCAGGTTTTAGACACTCTAGTACAGGGGTGTCAAACTCAAATACACAGTGGGCCAAAATTCAAAACTGGAACAAAGTCGCTGGCTAACATTAATATTTATTGAAATATATTTATTCCTCCAGATATAAGAATGAATCTTTTCTTATGGACTAAAACACGTTTTGCTGAAAAACTGAATATGGAACAAGCAAAGCTTAATACTAAACAATATATATATTAGCTGTATAATACCAGTAGGCCAGCTCTAATAGTAATTTGGCATGGCTTCACGGGCCAAATGTAATTAGGCTGTGGGCCAAATTTGGCCCACGGGCCAGAGTTTATCATCTACTAGAGCATAGGTGTCAGAGTGCCTAAAAAAAAAAATCTGGCATGTTTAAATTTACTACATTTATTCCAGGATTTTAGGTCGAATAGACACATGAATTGTTCAGAGTTGAAAAACACTACACCTGAATTAATTTTACCACCACCGCTAATGTCAATAGGACACAATATCATTTTCAGCATGATGATGGACAATTTGTTCAGCATAAACTGTCTAACATCTGGGGAGAATGAATGTGTGTACAAAATGACAAATTTCAAAAAGTTGGCATTGAGATACTGTACTGGTTAACTGAAGAATCTGTTGGAGGTGCTAGAGGAGAAAAAGGCTGGATTCATCTTCTGACAATGTGAATGAAAAAGTAATGGCAAGTCACTGAGTAACTGTGTGTAGCCACATTGCTTGTTTTGCAGAAACATAGACAGAAGTGAAAATGTATGGCCACCTTTGAATTTGTCATCTCTCCTGTCATACCAACTTATAATTAGCCATAACTTTACTGAAACCAAACAACATTGGTTTCAGTAAAGTTTAATATAATGGGACTGGACAGGCTGTGGCATGGCAATCTGATACCACTCTGAAACCAATTTAGATTTACTCTCACCCAAAACCACAGCGCAAAAGAAACTCATTAGCCATTTCTCATTTATGGCAGAGAGCAGCACTCCTGGCAGACGATCAGAAACATGTGCATGGTACTTCCACATGCCAATGCAGAGGCTTACAACAGCAATGAACAGGGTAATTAATTCTTAATGCGCTTATCAGGAGGCGCCAGCAGGGCAGCAGCCTCGAGAACAGTGGAGGTGTTGGTGTGAGGCAGACAATTAGGGAATACTATGAAATGCTTATCAGGTACAAAACACTAGGAGGGCAATGACGCATTATAAAAAGAACAGAATGTTTTACATGTCCAAACCACCTAAATGTGAGCATTATCAGGCATTACAATTAAAACCCCACTTCATCAAACAGAGGAACTTCAGCTTCTAAGTTGGCTACAGAAAAAAACAACAGTGCAACTTTGTGCAGGAGAAATAGACTGCCAATGATTTTTTAAAATGAAAGCATACCTACAAGTTGAAGAACATTTGACTTTTCTCAAAATTATTCCCTTCTGCTCACACAGCCACTCTGTATAATTACAACACACTACTCACTGGCTCCAGCCACAAACCATGACATACCGTACTAGTAATTAAGCTGTTCCTTGTCTAAAGGGGCCGTTGTCAGAGGTGGTCCGAGGTTCCATCCCAGTTCACGAGTGGGGGTGGGTTTTATATAAGCCACGAGGCAATTTTTGGTTCCTATGGCAACCGTAAGGGTCAGAATACAAGGCACACATGAGAGTTTGCTAACATAGATCATCTGAAAGTTTGTTCCCCCCGACCATTAAAAAGTCGTGATGGAAAGAGTAAACTTTTCCCATCATGTGGCTCAGTGGAGCATTGTGACAGTGGCAACACTTCAGTGGCTGAGAGTCGCCGCACACCGAGATGTCGTGTTGGTGGGATCTGGATGAAGATGGCTCGAGACTACAAGCAAAGGAAATAAGGGGTGGAGGGGGGTGTTGTATGCCATGAAATGATGAAACGTCATTTACAGTACTCCCACTCAGCTGAGCCATCAAGCGTAGGCTGCCACTTATAATCTTGGGTGGGAAACAAATCTACAGATATTATGATAATGTAGTCCTAACTGGAAGAGAGTTTATTAGTATGGGGGGAGCGATAAGAATGAGCTGCTACTGTGACAAATTTGTTTCACATTACTGGGATGATCAAGCTGAACATGTAATTACATACCTGGCATAGAGATTTTGTGTCCAGGGCTCCAAAATATTTGGGAAACGGACAGTGAGGTCCCCCAGGGCTATTATGGCATTAGCCCTAACCACAGGGAGAGTAGAGCGCTCCAGAACAGTAAACATGAGACGGATGTTTTCTTCACACACTGATGGGCTTTTTAAGAAATACAGGAAAAAAAGAAGAAAGAAATGCATTTAAAGTCTCAATGTTTAAGTTAGCAATAAAGTTGCTAACTGCTTGGGCCACTAAGAAGTAATAAATCTTTCTTTAAATCTTTAAAAAAAAAAAAAAATTCCCCTCAACACAGAATTACAGCATTTCTCCAACCGTCAGCATAAAAACCTAATTAATCACCAAACAGTATTACCACTACATAAATGTAGTGAAAAGTGAAATGTGTTTACCTAATCATCATGTACTGAGAGAGTGCAAGACAGGCAGCAGTGGTGAGCTGCGGGTGGGAATAACGTCCTGGGGAGCCGCAGACTCTCACCAGCAGGGGAAGGAATGCACTCAGCAGGTTCTCCTCTAGAGAGCAGAGGGGAGGGAGGTGAGATATTTGTGTGGCATTTATAAAAAGACTGTAGTATGAATTGAGGGGTTAATGTTGTTTAGTGTGACTGCAGACAAACAAAAGAAAAAAGGTTGGGTTCTTTACCAGCCAGTAATTCTGTCTCACAGATGTTTCTGATGAGTTCAGCCTCGGTATCTTCAGCAGAGGCACCAATCAACCCAAGCTCCTCCTCCATAGTGCTCTCATTGGCTGTTTGCTGTTAGGAAGTCATTACATATTAAAATAGATTACGGTTTATGCAGAATACTATAAAATGCAGCCACTACAGAGGGGTGTCCTACAGAGGAAGTCCACCAGACTTTCTTTGCCTTAGCTAGCTTGACAAACTCATGGGCATCATGACTGTGGTTTTCAACTTGCTGAACCAAATTTTCCTGCTTCATGTTCTGTGCATGATCATATAAAATGGGGTGTTTCACACCTCATATGATTCTCACAAAAATGATCTCTACCCACATTATTAGATGATTATGATAAAAATGATAGTAAAAAAAAATCTATAAACATAACAGTAAAATGCAACACTGTTGCGAAAAAGACGAGATTAATGCAGCTATAAAAAAAAAAAGAAGAAGAAAAAATCCCAACAATTTAACAACAGGTTATACCACAGAACGCTAAAATCATCATTTTAACTTGAGCTAATTATTTTAATGCTGAGCACACTCAGCATAAATTACCATGTTGATCTAACCAGGTTAAAAAAAAAGTCACTAAAATTTCTGACTAGAAGCTGAACAGAACTCTGTCACCTATTACTCGTTTCGTTGTACACCCCTCTAGAGACAAAAAAAGGTCACGTTAGCATGTTGCAAATGTCTGATAATCTGGTTATGATCTGGTAATGAATAAGATATGCCAGTATCTCACACTATTACAGAAGTGTTTTTTGACTCCTAAATGTGGCACCTAAGAATGTATATTTGCGATGTGTGTTAGTAAGCACAGAGACAGAAGTACAGCCATGAGCACCCTGCATAGCCTAGACTATCATGAATTCCTGTCAAGGTTTAAAACAGGTGACAGTAACATTTTGGGTTTGACTCAATTGTGCCTTGTGTCTCTCTGCCATATTTTCCCTCCATGGCTATCTAAAAAGACACAAATAAAAACTAAAAACAAGAGAAAAAAAAAAAACATTGGAAACTTCTAATGCTAATTGAGGAAGCATTTATCTTCCTGTTCCCTGATGGGCTGAACAATTATGAATCATCACTCATCTGATTCCATCGGTAAAAGAAATCTCATCAAGCCATCCTGCTGAGGCTTGGTCTGATTATCAAAAAGCTTTTTCCCCACACAGGGGGTTATGGATTCATGTGTAATTTTTATGTCACACGAAAGTACATATAAAAAATTAAAAAAAAAAAAAACCCTGACATTTAAACATGTCTGCTTTTGTCAAGCGAAACATTTGTGCACAGATGTCTGATTACACTTTACAGTAAAAGATGGCCACTAAACTTAATTGGTTGTTAGTAATTGTACTCATGACTTATATCTTGCTTATGTCATAAAATACTGAATATTCCCTCTCACACTGAATGGGCTGGCAACATAATATCGTTAGCTTCATAGCATAAGTGCCTAAGTCATTTTTTTGTGTTTTCGGAAAACAAGACAAAACTAATTTTCTAAATATCACATGCATATTTTTAAATATCACATGCAATTTGACCAAAAAATGACTTAGGCACTTATGCTATGAAGCTAACGATATGTTATCTTTTCTTTCTCAGTAAACCCACCAATTAGCTCAAATAGCACAGTGACAACAGTAGTAATAAATGGCAGTTAGCATAAACCTATAGAAGTCCAATTCTGTAATAGTTGATATTCACATTATTTTTGGAACTGCCAAAATTAAATTCTTCACTGCCACACATGGCAGCAAAAATGCTTTTAAAAGTCCGATAAAGTTAGATCTTTGAATGTTTTATCTAATTTTGCCGAACGTCAAATGGATTTTATTATACTGTCTATATTATAGACAGTATAATAAAATTGTATGTATGTATGTATGCTGTATGGATATTATAGACTATAACATCCATACAGCACATCATCATTACCTTGGCTTTTCCGGCTGGGCCTTTTTCCTTCTCCTCTCTCTCCTCTGTCTCTCCTCTCCTCCTCCGCAGCTCAGCACTCACGCTGCGCTCAAGGTGAGACACCTGCCAGAAAGCCACGCAGCCACACGCAGCCAACAGCTGGGCCAGACACACACAGTTCACTGCAGGAGGGAAAGACATGTTGTTGTGTGAGTATAAAGCACCGTGTGTGTCACATAGTGTCCTTTCAGACATCAAAATCTACAAAGGCTTAGTCCTGCTTCAGAACACAAAAGTGCTCAAAGAGCAATGATGGGACTCACCTTGTTCACATTGCTCATTAGACTCTTGAGAGCCATCTTGCATTTGGCCAGCATCCTTGTTGACTTCGCCACCTTCTGCAATTTGATCTAGTAAGAGGCGGGCACTTCGCTGGAGCAGCCTGGAGCACAGCTGGTCAGGCGATTCAGCCAGGAAGTAGATGAGACGGACAGCCTGTTCCATGAAGCTCTGCCAGTAAGGGTCTTCCATCACCACACCTGAAGCAAACACAGACAGAGGCAGTCAGAGGAAGAAACCATGAGCAGGGAAAGAAAAGAATGAAAAACAGAAAAATTGTCAAGAATGGGGCACATTTTTCTGAATTTACCTTCAGCAACGGCCTGTGTGAGACAGGTGAACAGCTGATGGTCCTGAGGCAGTCTGAATGGAGCACCCTTTGACTGCTATTGGAAACAGTGCAGTACAAGATGGTAATATTGTGCTGGACCCCCCAAACTGGGCATTTTATAAATTCAGTAATTTGTAAATATTAAATTAACAAAGTTGTATCTATAGATAGGTAGTAGTTTAATTTCCTGACTCTCATAGCCATAATCAAGAAATCCTTTAAAAGGTATGCTTTATATAATCTTACCCTGACATGATCAGTGATGTTGCAGATGGTAATAACTGCATCTCTGGCCAGAAGGAAGTCTTCAGTCACTTTTTCACCCAGGGCCACTGAACAAAGAGTGTCCAGATTACTGAGCACCACCTCTCTCTCTGCCCTGGTACACACACACACACACACACACAGAGAGAACTAAGTACAGATTTTATAGTTCTAACTGATCATGTGATTATACAAAGAGAAGTAAGAACATCTCTGCCCTACATTACCCTGAATGCTCCATGCTGGCCTTACCACCGCTAGGCTACAGACCAGATAACAGTTGTAGGAGGATGGGTGAGGAGATATATATATCTATATATATCTATATATATCTATATATATATATATCTATATATATCTATATATATATATATATATATATATATATATCTATATATATATATATATCTATCTATCTATCTATCTCTCTCTCTCTCACTGGCAAGGAGCCCAGTTATATGGTCGTGACTTAGATTACAATGAAGAGGAGCCGAGGCAGGGCTTGTATTCTGACTAATGGGAGGATTTACTGAATGTCAAGTGGCTGATGCAGGACCAAAATGTAAAAGGATGTGATGTGCAGTCATTTGTGTGGTGAGGAAGAGCACAGACTTAACGCACTTTTAAACGGTTTAGTCAACTTAACTGTAACTAAACAATTAAACTAGGAAGCTGGTCTATTTAATTACAAATAAAATATTATTTTTTGCTTCCATGTGACTTAACATATATAGCTTATAGATAGTAAATATTATGTTTATTCCAGTACCTTTGTATCGTGTTTTGTAATTCAAACAGTTTTAATCAGAAACAGTCCTGTTCCCTTAACACGCAATGTATTTTTACACATTTATCGTCAGTACAAAATATAATGGGGACATAATGAGATTGTAGCTTAGCTGCTGTCAGCCACATGTGAAAAAAAAAATTATAAAGAGCTAGCTTAGCAGGAACACCATGACTCAGTACAAAATTTGCCACGCTCCTCCACAGAGAGCCAGCGGAATTCCAAATGCCCTTCCCTCATCTACATTAAACAAGTTATAAGCAGGCAACCAACACACATTTTTATAGGTATACAAAACACATTTTGCCTCCTTCATGCCTTCTCTTTTATAACTCCTCTACAGGTGATTTTCTTTTTTTCTTCTTTTTAAAAAAAAAACAAAAAAACAAAACACAAGGTCCAGATGAACAAATTCAACATGAACTTTTTGGGATAAAACACCAGTATAGTTTAGTTAGGAGTGTGGCCTCTTTGACTGACAAGTGTTTTGATAGAGAACGCTAGTGTTGAGCTTTGGCAGCTCTAGCAATCCACCCTGTCATCCAAATATGGTATGATATGCTAGCTAAATGCCATCTACGATATTACAAGCTAGAAGATATTCAACATGTGAAAAAGGGGAAACAGCTAAATAAAAAGCAACACACAGTAAACAGTCTGGAGGAGCACAAGATGATTATCTTGAAGACAAAAATGAGGTCAAGTCTAATTAAGTAAGGCTTCCGAAGCTTCTTACAAGCTGTAAAGCACCATGGGTAATTATTGTACACCTCACAATAACCGTTTTGGGTGACATCCCATGTACTCTGTTGCACAGAGTACTTTAAACAAAAAAAAAGGTCAGATTATAAGATAGACAGAATGAAAAAGTAAGTTAAAAAAAGGACTGATCACAATTCCACAGGTGATAACTACACTTTATAGGCTTAACAACAAAAGCTATATATGTGGTATATATACATAACTGCTGGACTACAGGGACTCTAGTCACTTTGGGCTCATTTAGAGTAGAGCAGTGGAACTCTCACCTTGCAGCCATGCCCAGCAGTAAGACTGCAGCTCGCTTGTATAAGCTAGAAGTTTCTCGTTTACCAGTAAATCTCTCCCACAAGACCTGAACTACAGTGGACTGGAGACTGCTGCCACTGCTGAAGAACTCCTGTACCTATAGAGACATGATTGAATAGTTACAGTAAAAAAACAAAACAACAACTTGTATATACTCGTAAATACCTCAACATGGAGACACTAATGTTTCAGGATTAGAGGATGCGTTTTTACAGCCGAGCATCACACACAGAAATATCCATGAGAGTAATAACAGAGTCACTTACAATTTCCTCAAGACACTGGATTGTTCCCAGAGATGCATCCACCATCAGCTCAGAGAGACTATCAACAAGAGTCTGGGCTTTCGTCCTAAAAAAAAGGATTAGACAGATGCTTGTTTTTAAGGTTTTGCTTTAATCACAATATTGTATTTACCATTAATTTTGGCCCAGGCCTTAAAAAATGTAATAAAATTTGATTTTAAAAAAATGGTCCAAACAATATAAGCCAGACAAGTCATTTTATTTATTTATATTTATTAAATGCTATACGAGTCGTGCTTTAGTCAGTGACATTAAACCAGCAATAGCCTAATGCTACTGTAATTGTTAATGAAAAGATTACAGAAAATGACATCAGAGGGACAACAGTACTTTGTTTTGATTAACATAAATATGCAAACAGAAAAGTCCCACAACCATGAACTGGATAAAAAAAGAAAAGAGAATTCAAGGAGGGAAGAAGAAGTCTTTCTAGAAGCAATACTTTCTATTCTTAACCATCTTAGAGAAGCGTCCAGCATTTATTTTGTGTTAGCTTAGTTATTTTTAACGTCATAATGCCAGTACACTTAGGACATGAAAGAATGGGTAACTTATTCATAACTCAAATATGTGTGAGGTCTTACAAACCTGATGGTGTCTCCCTGGGGGTTCAGATACAGACGCCTGTAAGCGTGAATGACTGCATCTTTAATTGCAGCATCAGTTGACCAAACCAGAGGCAACATTTTCCTCACTCCACTGATAGAGTTAGCGACACTGAACTCGCACACCGTCACACAAAACTGCACAGCCTCCTGGACCACTAAAAGAAACAAAAAAAAAAAAAAAACAGCTGAAGATTCTGTTAGATTAAAAAACTTTACAGAAATCTACAAGATTACATTAGTTTACTGTGTAATGGATACAGCCGTCTACCTGAAGTTGTTTTCCAGTACAGCATGGTGTTGATGACAGAGATTGCTCTCTCTACTTGTAAAGCGAAGGTTTCTGTATCTTTCAGGTACTGCACCAACATCTCTTGCTTCTTCAGCTCACCATCCTCACCCTCTTTCTCTGGTTCTTTCTGTGGCGTCGGTGGCAAATTCTGGTTGAGCTCGGAAGTGTCATCATCAGAGCCTGAGGAAAATGTCAAGTATTGTACACTTAAGATCAAATGGGAGTTCAATCAACCAAGTTTAAAATGTTGTTTGACTGCAGCTCAACTGTTTATGAAACTGTATGAGATAAAAAAAAACGTTCTAAATTAAAACATAAAACCGAACTGCCTACCACTTTCCAAGTCCTTTTTAAAAAAGGATAATAATAATTTGGATGGGTTCAAGACGAGGCGTGTGAAGTCTGGGCACATATTGTATTGTCTGGCACAGGGCCTCCAATAGCAAACCCTCTCACCTTTAATTACATAATAATAATAAAAAATGTTGGGGTTTTTTCCCCAGTTGCAGCAGATGGAGTTACAAAAATGCTGCAAATGAAGACATTTGGTGTCATGGTGTACATGCTGCGTTCTTTTTCATGTTCTTTACGCAGTTTCTGAGCCAATGATGTGTGAACAGGTGGGAGTACTTCCCAAAGTAATGTATGCTAGGAACCAGCGAAATATTGCATTGTAAAAAGAAAGCTGATGTTATTCACTTAAGTGGTTTTAATGTCATGGCTGAATGTTGCACATTACAAATGAGACAGCTGTAAAAACACCCCCCAGGGACAAAACAAAAACATTAAAAAAACATGTTTATGTTCTCAATACAACTTCTATTAAATGTCACCAGGAAGAGCAATTTTCAGCCACACTGAGTACAACTTTTACCTTTGAAAATCAGAGCCAGTGTGTCCATCATATTCTCAGGTGTGAGAGTGGACAGAGAAGTAAACATCTCAGATTCTGGGAAGCAGCTGTGAGCTCTTATACTGAGCTGCACAGCATCCCTGTAGAATGCAACACAAAAGAAAAGCCCCATTAAAAAAAATAAATAAAAAATGAAAATTGTAGGCTACTGACAGCAAGGGAGAAAAAAAATCCTCCAGTTAGTGACACTACACAGGCCTCCACTGGTGATTATCATCACCTGTACTTGTTGACACGGAGGTACTGAGCTATCTTCACCGCGGTTGCTCTGTCGTCTTCTGCCTCCTTTTCCTCCTCCACCTCCCCGCCTTCCTCGTCCTCCTGCTGCTCCTTCTCTTCTTCGCTTGTGGGCTCCAGTTCTTTCCTGACAGTGACGAGGAGCTCAGGCACCATAGCAGCCCACAGCTCAGATGCTTTAATCACTGCCACTGCCGGGAGGGAAAGAGAAAAAAATAAAATAAATTCAATGGTGATGACTCAGCTTAGACCTACAAAGAGAAAGAGAGAAAAAAAGAAAATGAAAAAAGTAAAAGTACAACAATGTGCCAACAGAGATTAAAAACAGAATAATTTAGCAGCAGGACAAAATGGTAAGATGATTGTTGTTTAGGCCAAGAATTTAGTAAGGAATGGTGGGCTCCAGAGTCCTCATATTTAAACTTGTCATTCTTCTAAAGCTAATAAAAAAATTAAATGTTCTGATTTCTGGCAATGTAGTAAACTAGTTAATATTTTTCCCCATTGTGAAAAACAGATTAAACAAAAAAAAACAGATTCAAAAAAAAAAAAAAAACAAACAACTTATCTAAAAATAAATATTATAGTTCATCATTTATGCTGTATTGCTATTCATCAAACCAATTACAAAACGTATTTCTGTTTTCAGCATGAATATGGTTACATCAGATGAAAGACATCTTTAAAAAAAAAACAACATTTTGTTTAATAACTGGATCTGACACTTAACAGATGTTTAAATTCTGAACCAATGGTTTGTTTTCTGTTTGCTTGTGATGACATACATGGCATGCTGAATTTAAGCGAATTTCTGAACTTGGCCCTCAGATTACCAAAGAAACAGCTCATGGCTGACTGAACAGCAGTGAGAGCTGGGTGAACTTCTTGCCCCTTACACACAAAAAACACACTGTGAGCTTCATCCTCGTGGTTACTCCGCTATAACTTTAAGGGAATAATTCGAGTCGAGCCAAGTCACTGTAGGCAGGCCCTTACAGCAGAGCAGGAATCCTCCTCTGCACTGCCAAGATTACCTGCCAGTCAAGGCAAGAGGAACCCAGCTCTCATTCAGCAAGCTCATATTCGCCTTGGTCTCATCACAGGGCAAAATGTGAATTAGTCTTAAATAATAAAATAAAACATCAGGGGAGATTCATAGCAATACTTATGAATAATCACTCAGGTTTTGTTTACCAGGTGCTGTCCCCTCCAGTTTCTCTTTCAATTCTCTGAGTTTAGAAGTCTCCTTCTCCAGTGGTTTCTTCAGATCTGCGCTGCTCAGCTGAAAGACAAGATAAATATTCTATTATATCAGGAAACCTGAAGAACACCTGCTATTTAGAGTTTGACGCATAGTTATTTACCTTGCAGCTATAAGGATTGTGTGCTATGAAGGCAGCCAGCAGTTGGATGGAACTCTTAACCACATTTATAGATTTGTCCATCAGCCGTCCAACAGCAAGCTCCATCACCTCGCTATACCGACACAGGGGCAGCGCCTAAACACAGATGACTTATGTTACCAGGAGCAACAGCATTCTTTTACAAACACAATAGCTGATGAGCAAACCTACTTTGCTATTGACGATGCGTGTGTAGACCTGCAGTACACGTGTTCTGACATGAGAGTGCGAGTCATGCAGATGCTCCTGCAGTGTGTCAAAGAAACGGTCACGGTCAGCTCTACCGGACTCATCTAGCCCATCACCGCACAGGACCCTCACAAGGATCTCTCCCAGCACCTCACAGACAGCAACACGCATTGTGTGACTCTGGGAAAAAGAAATGAAAAAGGTTGGAAATTAAGAATTTCAGTGAAACAATCTGTTAAATCCTACAAAAACAGAAAAACCTCACTAAGAACTCTGCCCTCAGATTACCAAAGACAAAACTCATTGCTCACTGAACAGTAAAGAAAGCTGGGTGAACTTCTTGCCTTTTTTAACACACACACACACACACACACAGACATAAGACACACGCTGTCAGCGACAACCCAGAAATTACTCCACTGTGACTGCAGAGGAATAATTTGGGTCGAGCCAAGTCACTGTAGGCAGGCCCTTACAGCAGAGCAGGAATCCTCCTCTGCACTGCCAAGATTACCTGCCAGTCAAGGCAAGAGAAACCCAACTCTCATTCAGTAAGCTCGTATTCGCCTTGGTCTCATCACAGGGCAGAATACTGTTCTGCTTTTAACGATAATGTACTTTGATTGAAATAAAAAATGCCCTTGAATTTGCAGTTTTAGGACACAATCATTAGATAGCTTAGAAATAACTGAGAAACAGTATTTTGCTGAAAAGTTGGAAACAGTAAAAACAGACGTGAAGTATGCAATGGCAGATTTAGACTATATGATAAAGACATGATTATGACCAAATGTGAATGAAAAAGGGAGTCTTCAAGGGTCAAAATGGGTGTAACACATGCTCTGTGCTCTCACATAATGCACTATAATGGATGAAAACTGGCATTACACCTGCGATGCCTTGTGGGTTTCTTTCAACTGCACAGCTGGGTACAAATCATGACAAAAACAAAGGACTGACATTGCCAATGTAGCTAGGTATGAAGTGACAGAAGACAGCCAGTATCATGCAGAGGTCTATTTAGATTCTTTTCCTGTAAATCCCTAGCAAGCAACCTTCCAACAATATCTTGTACACTGTGAAAGACACGAAGCATGACTGAAAGAGAATTAATGTGCAGTCTGTCATGGCTCTCAGTCACAAAAAGGCAAGATTCATGACTTTGTAATTGCCGAATCTGACACAGTGACCATTGCAACAGAGAAAAATAGTGTAAATATCTGAGCCAATCATTACCTGTTACTCTGAGTAATGTAAGCACTATATAAAATTTTACTAGAGCTGTAAAGACCCTTCCTTGTCTTGTCTTTAAAAAATGTATTGTGCCCAGTGGTGTGTTACCCAGCCAAATACAAGAAACAGTGTCTCCTGGCTATAGCAGAGAATAATAAAGTGAATGCTGCTTGCTCATCCCACACTGTTATATTCCTTTTTAATCTTGTGTTTACATTACTTCAAAAACCAATGACAACCCACTTCTAAGACAGGATCTTGACAACTGTAAAAGAATTGTAGATGTCAACGTCACTTTTATTTCTATAACACATTTAAAAGCAACAAACTTGACCAAAGTGTAATGGATCCTTTCCCAGTATGTCCTAGACCAACAAAACTACATAAAACTCAACACAGGACATTAAAAAAAAGCACTTAAGAAGCACAAGGAGCAGAGGTTTGTGATGATTTAAAACTGCCCACTCCTTGTGGGCTCACACAGGGACAGTTCCTTTAATGAGCAACCCTGTTGCTCACACATCAAGGCTGTCACTGTGATGAGTCATTAATATTAATTGGTGCTGTTTTACATGATCACATAGACCTCTAATTAGCAATTGTTTATACCCAATCAATATGGCAGGCAGCCTCTACTTATGTAAGGACAATAATTTTCTTATTCATGAGCTGCAATCAATTACTCACTGTTCGGTGCTCATACCTCTCCTTCCAGGTGTGTGATGAGAACACTGATGTTGGGAATCATCAATTCAGGCACCAAAGCACTGACTTCTGAGAGGAAGGAGGCAAAGGCTTTGACTCCCGACCCCTCTCTGGCCAACTCCTCACTTGACTTCTGACCAATCTCCCTGAGATAAAAAAAAAAAAACAACAACAAAAAAAACAAAAACAAACAAAGACAGGAATTTGTAACACAAAATAAGACTTCACAAACAGATTCACGAAATCAAGCTGCATACTGGATACTGTATACACACAAAAATTGTACAGACCGTATGACTTCTCCTATGATAGCTCTGACTCCGTACTCTGTGCTCCACACAGACACAGCCTGGGCAAACACTGATGACAACTGCTCAAAATGTTGAAGCATCTGGATCACTTTTACACCAGCACCTGTGACAGTTTAGAGGACAAATAAAAAAAAACTTACAAGTCAGCTATGTCTCCCGAAAAGCTGAACACCTTATAGTGGCCCCCACCACCACCATTTACAGACAATATTCTCAAAAGTGACAGGATTAATTTGTTTCCTCGGTAATAGGACTGCATTTGTCTGACCAACTCACCCAGGAGGTGATTATATTTCTTAATCAGCAACCCCAGGAGGTGGATTACACAGTCTCTGGTGGGTTTACTCTTGACATGGCTGATGGTTGGGTTCTCAAGGAGCTTGTAGCAGCAGCAGGTCACACAGCTAAGAAGAGATAAATGTGTGTTTTTTTATATATTAGATTATGGTAATACCTGGATGAAAAGTTACCAAAAATCCACAATGAGTAGTAGACAAGGCTTTGAATTCATCAGAAGCATCAGATACACACAGTCCATGTTAAAAGCTGAGGTAAGTGCTGCTAGGAGTGTTGTGAGTGTTAAACTACCACATAAATGTCTTCTGACAAACAATTTACTGAATATCCTTACTGAGAACCATAAAACAAGTGGAAAGTGAGGAAATGTGCATAACGAAACCATTACATTGGGCAATTTACCACAGTCCAAATTTCTTCTAACCTTATTAGATATTGTAGATTATTAATGAAGAGTCACACATCATTGTCATAAGAGTTCCAATTAAGGCTACAGAGTTCCGAATGCTCGGAAGTGATATGGATAAGTTGTAAATGACACCAACTAACTGAATGAAACCAGCAAAACGTGATACTGTATTCTCTGCCGGAGCTCTCCTGACAGCAGAGTACCTGATGAACTCTTCCTCCACCAAGGAGAGGCTCCACAGTGAACGGATGTCCAATTGGAAGAGCTGCACAAGTGCCTGTAGCACCTGCTCTCTTTCTGAGTCCCACTGCACAAGTCCTTCTCCACATGCTTTGCCTTTTTTACCACCCTGTACAACATAAAAAGAGCAGTTAAGCTTCATAGATGTTGGACTATAAAATCTTTAATATAGTATTGAGATCAAGTAAATCACAATACATGTCCTCAGATTACCAAAGAAAACAATTCACACCAGCCAAACCAACTATACAGAGACTGATAGCCTCTTGCTAGCTGATCATTATGCACACAATGGCAAACATCCACACATTGTTTGACAGCTCCTGCTTATACTACCCAATTTCTCTTGAAGTGGCACAGCATAGAAAGTGTCAATTTCACTCTGGGTGGGCCCTTACAGCAGTGCAATAACACTCTACCACACAACCAAGACTACCCACATAACAACAGGCTAGAGACTCAATCTCTTAGTTTGACTGAATCATAAAGCTAGTTAAAGCTCATCAGTGGACATTTATGATAACAGGCATATGCAAAGAACCCTTTAGCTAAGTAAGCAATGAGCATACCTTCCCAGGTGCTGTGACAATATTCTGCCTATAGGAATCACTCTCCAGGTTCTCTGTGAGTTTGCAAAGCAGGAAGACGCTCATTTTAACGGCGTTAAGTTTTTCCTTGCGCTCTGCAGCTGACAGGGAGGTGGAGACAAGGATGCTCGGCAGTGAAACAGACAGCCCACTAACCACTGAAAGGCAAGGGTTATTAAAAAAAAAAAAAAATCAAAAAAAAATCAGGTTATGTGAGCACATCAACAAATCAAAGTTATCAATTTAAACATCAAGAAAAAAAAAAAAGCAACCTTGTACTAGTAATTCCAGAGTATCTTCTTTAACAGCCAGATCTACCGCCTTACAGTGCCTAAAGAAACAAAGACAGTTGTTTTGTACAGTAATAGTCACAATAAATAAAAGTGGGTAATACATGAAAACACTTACTGCAGCACACTGTAGCCAGTGTCGAAGTGCTCTAGTATACACAAAGGCCCCTGACTCCTTAATGCTGCCTTGAATTCTGTGTGAGACAGAATTTAAAAAAATAAACAAATAAATAAACTAGCACAATCATCCCCAAGTATTCGAAGAGTGACAACATTTTGTCATTTTGGGTAAAAAAAATCAAAACAAAAAATGCAAGTACATAGGTATTTTAATTAACCCTACTTGGGGGTGTGGTACATGAGCAGGAATCTTGGGAAAGATTTATATAATTGTGTCTGAGACTTAAATGGTGGCTCGACCCATCACTGAAATCGAGACTGTTTGTTTTAGGGGATGGTGATATACACATAAGAAGCTGGGTGCAATCCAGTACTATAATTATTTTTTAATTTTAGCTAATTTCCATCTGCAGACCCTCTGGCAGGTTGGTGTTACACACAAGTTAGTAAAAAGATTCTTAG